TCATTGCGCAGCTCTCATTGATGTGATGAAGACCAGTAGCTAAGCTAGTGGGGCTAGGCATAGCTACTATGGCTAACAGCAAGCATAGAAAAGTGGTACGGTAAGATATAAAAAGTGATACACGGCATAATATAAATTAGAATAATCATCACATGTCAGAGATTCATTTTATTAATTGTGATGGTGCTTTACACTGTTTCCCTTGACGCATGTGGTAATTTAGTATTATTCAAGGAAACAGAAATCTCACTGTACTGATGGAAACATTGTTGGGCAGGTCATCAGTATACATACAGTAGATGGACAGACAGCTCATTATACTTTTGTGTCACCAATTTACCCATAGGGCAATTTAGAGTCTCCAATACACCTGACTACTTTGTTGGCACAGATTCAAAGCGATAGACAAAACTTTCCTGCAACCCTCAGGTGAAATGTAGATAAAACCAGCATGGAAGCCACACCTGAGATAGGTACTCTGCTGTACTAACCGCACTGAGAATGGATTGGGACAAACTGAACACTTTACATAGATTGCAGACTCCATCTCATGGTCAATAACAGAACAGCAGGTAGAAATGTACGGTTGTTAGAAGAGAGCTGTTAGTGAGTGTGTCTTGTCGAGGTAAGTGTGTTATACTGTGTGGAAGGTTTGTCTCAAATGTTTTGTTTCTAAAATGAAAGTGTACAGTCACTTAAAATTTATATAACTTAAAATATCTGTCATACCAACGTGTAGGGGAGAGAGGGGTAAGTTGTCACGTGTGTAAGTTGTCACACTGTCCATAACACTAGGCTCTATGTCAAAAATCAAATAGCCATTTTTTGTGACTTATTGTTTAACGTTCAACTTCATGTTTACATATAGTCAAGGTCACTATATTATTAGAAATTATCAACAGAAGATGGAGAATGGCAGTACACCACCTGACATAATGTTGTTAAAATGTACAAAAATGGCAGGTGAATTTGAAGAACAAAAATCCTTAGCTGTACTTCTGATTGAAGTACAGCTAAGGATTTTGACATAAGCTGCTGACATCTCTTTTGCTTTCATTTATGTGGAGCCATTTTGTGTGTGAAAAGCAACAAATGGGCACACAAGGACCGCCTTTTTTCACCTACGTAATATTGCAAAAATCAGGAATATTCTGTCTAAAAATGATGCAGAAAAACTAGTCCATGCATTTACTTCTATGCTGGATTACTGCAATTCTTTATTATCAGGCTGCTCTAAAAAGTCCATTAAGACTCTTCAGCTGATCCAGAATGCTGCAGCACGTGTTCTGACAGGAACCAGGAAAAGAGATCATATTTCTCCTGTTTTAGCTTCTCTCCATTGGTTTCCAGTAAAATCCAGAATAGAATTTAAAATCATTCTTCTCACCTACAAAGCTCTTAATGGTCAGGCACCATCTTATCTTAAAGAGCTCATAGTACCTTACTACCCCACCAGAGCACTGCGCTCCCAGAATGCAGGGTTACTTGTGGTTCCTAGAGTCTCCAAAAGTAGACTAGGAGCCAGAGCTTTTAGCTATCAAGCTCCTCTCCTGTGGAACCAGGTTCCAGTTTGGGTTCAGGAGGCAGACACCATCTCCACATTTAAGAGTAGGCTTAAGACTTTCCTCTTTGATAAAGCTTATAGTTAGGGCTGGCTCAGGTGAGTCCTGAACCATCCCTTAGTTATGCTGCTATAGGCCTAGACTGCCGGGGGATTTCCCATGATGCACTGAGCTCCTCTGTCCTCTTCTTTCTCTCCCTCTGTATGCAACCTCATCCCATTAATACATGTTACTAACTCGACTTCTTCCCTTTCCGGTAGTTTTGTGCTTTCTCGTCCCTCTCCTCTCTCCTCCTATCACTTCATGCAGGTGTTTCTGGCTCTGGAGCTGTGGAGTCTGGATCTGTGGTTGCGGGTCACCTGCTGCCCCAGTGTTCCTGCTCGACACCATCTGCTACAACAACTATTGTTACTAGTCCTATTGTTATTATTGTTATTATAATAATTAACATTACAATTATCATTAACACTACTATAAATATCTGTACCATTTTTCATTTAGTCTAAAGCAACATCACCTTTACTGTCTGTACCTCTGTGTGTGTATATTGTGTAGGCTGCCTCCCTTCCCTCTCTCTCCTTCCATCCCTCTCTTTTTCTCTCTGTTCCTCTCCTGCCCTCTTCCTCTCTCTCTCTCTCTCTCTCTCTCTCTCCTTCACCCCCAACCGGTCGAGGCAGATGGCCGCCCACCCTGAGCCATGGTTCTGCTCGAGGTTTCTGCCTCTTAAAAGGAAGTTTTTCCTTGCCTCTGTCGCCTAGTGCTTGCTCTTGGTGGGAATTGTTGGGCTTCTGTAAATAACACCACAGAGTATGGTCTAGACCTGCTCTTTTATGAAAAGCGCTGTGAGATAACTGTTGTTGTGATTTGGCGCTATATAAATAAAATTGAATTGAATTGAACAATGCTTGCACCTCAGGCCAGGCAATTTGTGTGTGCCAGAACTGTGACTCTGAATACACATCTGATTAGTTAGATACAGATGTACAAAAGTGCACGAGTTGCAATTGTGTATTTAAACACCACAGATGTTTTGTTAAGCAGTTATATATTTATCTGCAGTTCTGATCTATTTGTACCCCAAAGAACGATCAGTTTTTAAGTTCAAAGTAAAGTGGTCCTGCCAGCATTTTTGGTGGTTGAGAGTAGTAGTAGTATAAAACGCTATATAAATATGAGGATTAGTTTGGCCACTTTTCAGCATCTCACTATCACAAGTAGCCTCTTTTGGGAACATTCATGTGATTTACTACCACCGTGTTAAGCCTGTTTCCATGTGGGACTGCAGTTAGCAATTATATCTAAACTGTGATCAAAGTGCAGCAACTACATCATAAAATAGAGTATACATTTCCATTTTTATCCATAGCATAATTTAAAGAAAATCCTTTTAAGACAAAATGCTTCTGAAAATGAACCATCTATAACCTACTGAAATTCAGCCATGTTTTTATCATGTGCAAACCTAGATCAAAATGAATGACAAAATCAGCCAGAATATGAATCTCCAGTTTGCCTGTCAGACCAGACAATTGGGGTACGAAGGTCCTGGGTTCAAACCTTGGGTGTCCCAGGCCTTTCTGTGTGGCATGTTCACCCTGTGTCTGGCTTCCTCCCACCATCCAAAGACATGCGGGTAGATTATTGGTGACTCTAAATTGCCCTTAGGTGTGAATGTGAGTGTGTATGGTTGTTTGTCTCTATGTCAGCCCTATGACAAACTGGCGACTTGTCCAGAGTGTATGCTGCCTCCTGCCCAACGTCAGCTGGGATTTGCTTCAGCAACCCAGCACGGGTAAGCAGTTATAGATAAAAGATGGATAAATGGATGGATATTTCTAAAACCTAATGTGACAGGTTCATGCAAGCCAAAGCTTCACACAGCTGTTTTCAGTTTTCCTACTTTCCAGATGGGCAGAGAGAGGACTCAGGGTTTGCTGGCAAATTCCTGCCACCAAATACCTGTACACCAGATGGGACACATTTCAGAGACAGGTTACCTGACAAAGTTTAACCTCATCTGACCAATAGTTCTCTCTAACAAGGAGATGCTTTGACATGGTGGAGAAGTCCCACGCCCAACTGGGGGCATCAAAAGGAGCCTTTTCCTACTAAGATACAGACTTGCATATGGCATGCTCTCCACTACGCATGACCATCTCCAAGTAATAAAACTAAGCAGAATGGGCTTACCATCAGCAACTTAAATATACCTGATAATACCGGATAAGATAACAAAATTTATGGTGCATAGAACATCATCATTGCAAGGCTGGGAACAGCTCCTCGAGTAGTTGTAAGCATTTGGTGGGCATAAATAATTGGTTAAAGAAGCGACAGTCTCACACAATTATGTACAAAACTATGTTTTACTTAACAGTCTCAATTCAACTCCAGATATGAAACGAGCACCAAAATATAACCTTATACATCAATGACAAAATAAATGTAGCTTTTATTTCAATTTATACTTATGTTCCTACGGTTGCTCATCAAAGTTGCACCACTGCATCAGATACTTTGAAGATGCATAGACAACTGGCAGTGCAGTGGCTTTGGTAATGAGGTTAAATATTTATTCAAAATGACACAAGATTACCCATTTGAAAAGCAAGAAATATCGTGATAAAAGCGCAACGACTTTAAACAACTTTAGTAGATTACATGTAAGCTTACCTTCATGTAAAACTTGTATTAAAAATAAACATGCTCAAAAGGTGTCTTTGATAAAAATGTACAACCTACTAAAAAACATTTGGATATTAAGTGCATTCAAAATAGAAATGACTAATTCCTCCATATTAAATACTAGACATTATGAAAACCTAAAGTTCCTGATTCATTAGAAACAGACATGTGGGAATGAAACATTTGGATGTAACAAAACACAATGGATGACACTGGTTGTCGCCTGTAGGCTCCTGGTGACTGATGGCATTAGGTTCCTGTCCAAGCCCGTTTCCACTGAACAAAACCACAGTCAAGTTTTAGCCCACAGTGTCACCTCACTAAGGCTTGTACTGTTAATGGAGGTGTTCTACTCAGCTGGCTGGGCCTTGTTCTTTTTGTTCAGGACTTTGCGAAGGCTCTCGGGCATCAGATAGGGTCTCTCTGGACTGCCATCGTTCCTCTCAAGATCCTCCACTGGAAAGAATTTAAATAAAATGGCATTAAACTAAGGTCATTAGAGCCACAGTTTTCATTTTGAAAACACTGAGGCACAGTTTTTTTCCCATTTCTGTAAATTTTTTGTAAAGCAGAGACATTTTGCAGCCTAGACAAAAACAAGGTCAAGCTTCACAATTAATGTTTATAACTAGTAAACTTGGTTTGGCTTGTTTCCAGTTAAGTGCGGAGGGGGGGGTAGGAGTTTCATTTGCATTTAACAAATGTATATAGCTTTGATCAATAGTTCAGACAGTCAATCACCAACAACATGCATCCATTTCAGAGTTTTAATTCCTTTGTTTTATGCAGTGGAGACTTGTTTCCTCAAATACTGTTAACAACTACAAGTTCCTTTGTAAAGAGGCACTGAATGCAAAACTACATTGCTTTTACAGTAAAAACGTCAACATGAGAGACTACAAAAGCAGCTAGCCTCAACAACAACAAAAAAAAATTCAGTCTTCATTTATACAGATAAAAACCTGTTATGGCTTGGTGTGAACAGAAATTAAAGTGCATTGATAGTGCAGCGCACTAAGTAAGTAGCACTGAAGACTGTGGTTCTGATTGCATAAACTGTAAACAATTAGGTACCCTTATTAAAATTTAAAGTCTAGGTGCAAAGACACCAATATTAATATGGTAAATTAGGCACGTGGACGGCTTCAAGTTTCTTCTGGCCCATGGCAGGAACTATTAAAAGGTTAAAACAGAGTCTGTTTACGTCAGAGTAAGCCATTTATACAATTTTAGTTAAGCCCAACATGAAAAAAAACCAAAATAAATCCCTAATACAGACATTTCTACCGCAATGTCCGTAAAAGTGAGGAAAGACCTGACTGTTACAAAGAGAGACTTTAACTAATTCAATGATATCAACTCCAGTGAGAGACCATTTCATCATCTGATTCATGCCATAAATAACCCACGTGCAATACACCTGTGAATATTTTAAAGTGATCATTCCTAGAGACATGCTTGATGTTCAATTGACCATTCGCTAACCCCCCCCGTTACTGTTGCTCAGCTTTCCTTTCCCCACACAGCACATGTGCAGTTTATGATAATAGTGGCATATTTACCATCAAAAGTCATTTGTGAAATAGTGATCAAATTAAGACAAAGCAACTTCTCCTTTCTATCACTCTTTCCATCTGAAAAAGTGATTATTTGACATTATCTAAGATAACGTTAGCTTACTTGATTTGAAGACAAAAAACCTAAAAAAAAAAAAAGAAAAAGAAAAAAAGGGATCCTAAAGATATACTCCAGGCAAAAAAACAAACAAGCCCCAGCATCAAACTGTAAATCCTACCATTAACTGTTTGGCTGCTTAGAATACATACTAACTAACTACACAATACAGAAGTTAGATGTATGCTTTTTTGCTAGCAATAATACAAGCTTGTATTAACAGTTGTTACAAAAAAAAAAAAAAAAATGCTTTTCTGATGAGGACTAACTAATGTATTTGGCAAACATAATGCTACCTGGAATAATAATGAGTTCGGCTGTGTTAACTATCCTAATTCCAATAAACAGCAGTTACTATGTTAGCCTATATTTTGATGATGAAGCATCCTGGACTGGTTTCCACACCATACTACAGAGTCAATGTGCTCTCCTGACCAAAGACCCCCCCCCCCAACGTAACCTGCAATTCCACAAGAAAGTGTAGTATGAAAGGCCTGTGTTGGAACTGTTAGTAGTGTAGCTAGTAAGCCAGTTAGCTGAACATGCCAAAGATTACATGCGAGCATTATGTTTTCAAATGCTTTAAAATTTGGAAAGCTAACCCAAAAGACAACACCTTCCAAACCCATTGACACCGCTCCATGTGAAGATTAGACAATCACTGTGTGGGGGAGGGGTTTAGCAAAGGTCAAATAATAAAACAAAGCCGTAACATCTTGTTTCCACATGTTGTCTTGTGTTAAAGAACAGATAACGTAAAAGGAAATCTGCACTACTCAGTTGTTGATAATGGAAACACTGAATTCCTGCTACTTTAAGCCATAGAGTTCTGTAGCTTTACTACAGTCTGAGATGAGCAGGTTAGGTGCCAAGGAGTCCTTCCCAATGGGCAACAATGTACCAGCTCCTTACTATCAAAGTTTAAGATCGTCTTGAACTATAACTGTTTAGAAAAGTGTTGCATGGATTTTGTTGTGCCCGCAACTCAGTGAAATCTGACGACATTCGTCTTTGACCATAAAACTGCCCATCTCTAAGCTGTATCATCCTCCTGCTGCCGTTTCAACTGGATGTCTTCATCGTCATGTTGCAGGGCAGAAGATGAAGGCGGATCCTCTGCCTTGTTCTTCCACAGAATCTCATGAAGAGTTGAGGACATGTAATAAGGCCTTGCGGCTGAACCGTCATTGCGTTCCAGGTCTTCACCTTATTGTGTGTATGTATTTGCACGTGTTAATGGATGGAACAGAAAATTAATATTGAAATCAAGGTTAAAAAAAAAAAAAAAAAAGTGTAAAAAGGGCCAGTAGGAAGGGGAGGTGGTGAATTGTGGAAAGTGAGAAGAAAAGGGAAGGGAGAGACAAAAAGAGAAAGAAAGTCAAATAGCAAGCAAAGGCACCCACAGGCATCTCAGATTTTGAAAGTTAACAGTTCAACACCAAGCAGCAGGAAGTTTCCAGATTAACATACTGTAAGCCGCAGACTGTTATTTTCAAATGGTGGTGAATGTGGCACACCAGTCATGCAATTTAAAATTAGTGACAGCCCAACACCAAAAGCACGTAAGACTTCAGAAGGGTAGCACGTTTCGATTCAGCTCATTATTTTAGCTTCAGATTTTACATCAAGCACTTTATTCTAACCAACAAATCTGCAATGCTTGTTCCTTTGATCTGGAGTCCATCGGACATTTGTGTGGACTATCTATAAGTAATACATGGATGTCATCGAAGACTGAGGAGGTGCTACTTACAGAAACAGAGGAAAAGAGTGTCCACGCACATGGCGTAGACACTGAAGAATCCATGGGCAATGAGGTAGGAGCCCAGCGCCACAGTCTGAGGAGGACATCAAGAACCAGAGTTGTTTCACCACATTTCACTCATAACGCATATATAGCAACAACATGGATCAGAACCAAACAAGCAGGGATTACAGCATTATACACCAATTCTGTTCGGACTCACCAGGATGGGTACCCAGTAGTAGTTGAGATGGGGAGCTGTATTCTCAAAGGTCTTCACTCTCCCAGAGAAGAAAAAGAAGGCAAAGATCCCTTTTGGATGTAAGAGAACCGATCATGTTAAACACAGTGTTTACGGTCTATTTCAGTCACTGTATAGAATACACTCCACTGAAATGTTAAGTACTACAGTTTATGAAGAGTTATATATTGCATTAAAGTCTGTGGAGGTACATTCACTACCACTGATCTGAGCATATTGGCTGTGTCATGCTATAAATCCAAAAATCATGCCAATCAGCATCAACGCGCACATATTTCACATGCATTTCATACTTCAGGAAATGCCTCTCATCTACAAAAAAACCAAATACTGTACATGGTCAATGAAAAATTCACACATGAAGATGGGGGTATAAAAAAAACAAAAACAAAAACAGACTCACCTACGAGCCCAACAATCAGAAGCTTGCCCAAAAACAAAAGGAAATCTGTCACTTTGTCCAAGACAGCCACCCTGGAGGATTAAAGAAAATAATTTATCCTTTGCAAAACAACTCATATCATATGAAACTGAACATGAAAAAAAACCCCATTAAAAATGTATATTTGTGCAAACTTACAAACACTGTGTAAACTCACCTGATCATGTTTCTCATTAGGAGGAAGAAGGCATCTCTGGCAGAGGTGCAAAAGTTTTTGCCATATATCGCCACCTGGAGGTCAAATACACTCATTACATACCAATACTTTAGCCATACAAATAATAGTTTCTATTTTAATGATGACTAAAGTGAAGTAAACAAATACACCACACACCATAATGTAGGCGTTTCTGTTTAGGAACTTGATGAATTTCTCCAGACACCAGAAGCAGCACTTCAGACAGCACAACAGGAACTTGGCAAACTTATTTTGGGCTCCTGTGAATGATACCATGAATGCCAATTAAGTGAATGTTTAACCAACACTAGAGGTGGGTCTTCCAGGTTATCCCAAAGATGCATTAGAGGGTAGTTAGTTCATTGAATACAGATTTAACTCAGACAGTTGCTATATTTGATGTCATTAATCAAAACAGAAATCAGAAAGAAATACTGAGCAACAAACTAATATACTTTTACATCACTGACATTTTTGTAGGCCCTAATTGCATTGCCCTAAAACAGTATACCCTACCTGCAAGCAAGCTTAATCAAAGGTTATTTCTTGATTCAAGTCTGTAAGCTATAAAAACTATGGATTGTAGTCTACAGAGATCTAATTGGGATCAAAAACAGTAATAGACCTTTCAGCTTGTGGTCCACATACTCCAGCAAAACCCTGATGATCTGAACGATTGAGAGTATAAGGGAGCCGAACGCCAGACTTCCTGTGTGATACCTAAAAACAAGATACAAGTGACTTTCAAGCAAGGTACAAAAAAAACAGCATGTAGAATGTAATCTGTGTCAAACCTGATGAAACACTATAGTCTGTTGTTGGACAAAAAAACAATCACAAGAGAGAAATGTTACACTTCCTCCAAACACGTATTACGCACCTGAGAGATCTCCCTAGGGAAGAAAACAATGGGAAGGCAGGCATGTCATCAGGCTTGACGACGGCCCAGTAGTACGAGGCAAAGGCCCCGGCCAGGGTCATCTGTCCCAGAGCCGTGACAAAGTTGGCACACCAGAAGAAGAGGAAGACGTTGTAGAACTGCAGGCCTATCAGGTATTTGTGGTAAAGGGTTTCTCCCCCGTAGAAAGCAAAAAGGCACTTGGAGTCAGGGCACTGCCGTTTCATTTCACTGGTGGTGTAGTTCTGAGCGCAGAGAGAGACAATTTCTATTTATTTATGGTAGAGCCATAAATATTTACTCAATATGAGCCTCAAATAGCTTTAAGGAAGTCTATGCTGTCAAAAAAATTTTTTATAAACTTCCTGGGAGGTTCCAAAAGTAATTGACAAATGAAGAGAGAAAACTTACAGCTGGGTTACAGTTTTGTCTTGAGAAGTCGCATACAGTGTCATTGAAAACTTTATAGATGGGTTCATTTGAGGTAGACAAGAAGCTGATCAGAGCTGTCAAGGACAACGAGCATAAGAACTTTGAAAGACTACAAATCCCAACCTCGAAATCAACATCCCACCATAATGACATTACATTCATTTTGGATTGCATTAATTGCTAAATTGTTCAGCCAGCCGAGCAACTTATTGACTTGTGCTATTGAAAGGAATATTAATAATAATAATGTAACATTATTGGACATCTGTATTTTTCATTTTTGGAGGAATACATTTATTCATGTAGCGAAGTTTCAATCTGCATATTTAAAATGTGCACAAAATATTAGCAGTGTTTAGCAGCTATATAAAGCAGCAGTCCCTGCACATGTCACATGTTAGCATAAATTGCTAGTATTTTTACTGTGCAATAAAGAGCCATTCACAAACATTCTTTAAAATGGAATTCAGGGGCAGGAATTTTACTCATAACATGGAAATTATTCAGGTCTAATTGCTTTTCAAGCACTCATGGCCCAGTGTCCTCAGTAACCTCCATTATCACAACCATGACGTTTGTCTGTTCTTGGTGTGCCTCAGTTCACAAAATGTCCCATATCAAAGTCCAAGCAGTTTTAATGAATTATTAAAAACAATAACTCAGCGTTTTACTTTTCATTGAAAGCAAATCACTTCACTGTAGGAGCTGGTGGTCCAACGCCTGGCTCAAGGGGAGTTCCACAAGCATTGCTCAGTGTTAATTTTCTCTACCTGTTGCTCCTATGTTTTTGACTACAACCAACAGTAAAAGTGTTTCCCTACATAGACTTTAGTTAGCCCCACCCATTTCAGCATTTTGCAGAGAAACACAGAGAGAGAGATGTGTTGGTGTGAGCCTGTGGGGGAAAGATAACAGAAGGGAAATGGAGCAGACTTAAGTAGTGAGTAAACACTAAAATAAGGTGGAGAGTGAAGTAGAATTGAAATAGTTAAATTGGAAATAACACATAGGGATGGGGGGCAGCCACCACCGCAAGTTACACTATCATTCAGTGGGAAACACTTGAAAAGATACACAGCTGTAACTGCCCAGTAGGCGATGACCACGGCCAAGAGGACAAAAGTGAACAGTGGGTAGAAAAGGGACGACATCACATGCCCGATGGCTCTGTAAAAAAAACATAACAACCGAGGCAAAAGAAATAAGTATATTTCGATTACTTCATCTGTGCCTCTGCCATTAGTCTGACACTTTAATCCATTAATATGAGTCACAGTAAAATGATTTCTAAGTCAGAACAATTTAACATCTCAACTTTCATTGATCTGTTTTTCTAACCCTCTAAGTGCCTACAGCTCTAATGTGAAGTCTGACCTGCTGGCTTCTTTGATGAGAGCAATGGCAATGCAGATCCTCTTCCTGAGGAAGATGAGCAGCAGGATGATGATGACCTCCACAATCGCCAGGATAATCACTAAAGCAGAAGGGTGGCAGGGTCAGAGGTCATTTGGGTGTCCCAATTCTACAGCAACATGTCAGAATCTATAAAAAGATGTTGAGTATGTGCTGGGTACTGACTGAAGGCCAGCCAGGTCTGTCTGATCTGCAGGTAGACTGAGAAGTCTGTCTGGAAGCCCAGTTGCTGTATAGTCACGTTAGCGCCTGGATCTCCTTTTAGGCCAGCATACTCCATATAGCAGTGGAAGATACCTTAACAGCGGCAACAAACACACCACAAAATACATGGCTTTTTTAAAATGGCAATAGTCCCTGGATTTTTAACAATACATGGAAGCAGTGTGCAAGAAAGTACAAACAAAACTGTGATCTTCTACAATGTATCTAAAAATAAAAAACAAACATTGGGAGCATTGCTTCTGGGCCTGAAAAAGTGTCTCTTCCAAATAGCAGGTTCAGTACAAACTTAACGGACTTTAGGGAATCTCTGATTCCCAGGAAAATTAAAATCACTTTACGTCTGGGTCAGTTAGCTAACTCACTCTGAACCTACAAAACCTCTCTAACTGGTCCTTTCTGAAAGTACTTGCTACTCCCTCCCACTACCTACTTCTGCTCCGTTTGGTCTGCCACATTGAGTGCCATCCGAAATCAATAAGCATGGAGTGGTTGTGAGTTATCAAACCCTCATATGCCGAGTCAGCGTCAATGCTGGCTTGATTGAAAGTGTGTAACACCCTTTGCTGCACCATGGAGAACCCTTCTTTCAAATGTGAGTTCCGTTTCACTACACCTGTAAACATGTAGGATTTTTAAATCCCAAAACTACACTAACACTACTCTATCACCATTCACTATTCTTCAGACCAAACAATGTTTCAATATAATGTTTGATTTCTATTTTGAAATGTTGTATTTGTGGCTTCTTTTAAGACCATTTGTACCACGTCTCTTTTTCATTAAATAATAGCTGAACCACTCAACGTCTTTAAGGAGTTAGTTAGGGAGAGGAAAGTTCATCCGAAAGTTGGCGCTGTATTTATATCCTACACGTTAAGGGAACTCAGTTTGGCTGCGAGGGTGTGGGGAGGGTCTCGTGAAGGAAAGGCCCTCTGTCGCCTCCCATCCTGTTGAGCCTGGAGCAGCTGTCTGACATCCAGTCCAAATCAAAGCTTATTCATTTACTTTGGAAAAGGAAAATAAAAAGTCTGCCTGGCTATTGGATTGTTCCTAAAGACTTTTCACTTTTAAGCTCTGATGCACATTTTGTTTTCACAGTAATCTTGCTCATTTTCAGACATACGCAACGCTAGCAGCTTCATCTTTCTGTTAAATTGATGGCTTTTTGTCATTCAGACAAAGGTTCAGAGTTCTGCTTTCTGAAAATGGCTCCCGGAGCCCCTCTACTACTTTGAGGAGAGTATGAAAAAAGATAAGGAGTGAGTCTTATGGCCCTTACCATATCCTATGACCAGTATCACCATGGCAATCATGACCCAGACCATGATCCCTGCCAGGAAGCGCAAGAGGACAATGAAGAGCAGGCTGGTGAGCATGGCAATAACCAACCCTCTACAGAGAGTTGATTGTGTGAGGAGGGGAGATAAACACAGAGACTGAGTGAGCAGTTAAACCAGCTGATGTTTCTTTCTTTGCAGACAAACTGGATCAGAGCGAAAAAGAAGCAGGAAGCGGATTTACAAATGTAGGTGAGTGACTTACATCAGGATCCAGTACCAGGACTGTGTGAAATCCTCAAAGATTTTCATGACCACCTGACGAGCCTCCATAACCACCGTGGCATTCCTGTGGAGAGATTCCTGTGTGTTGATCTGTTTAAGCACTATGGGATTCCTTGTCAGGTACAATTTATAAAATCTAATGTGGGTTGGGACAGGCCAGGCCACAGCTATGTTCAAGTGATGACAGAACAGCACTATTGTGTGTCACAAAAATTCCAACTATGCACTCACTTGACTCCAGCCACAAGGTCCTTGGCATCTCTAATATTTCCGGTTCCATCTTCAAACTGAGAGATGTTTCCCACAGTTATCACGCCTCCTTTCTGGCCCAAAGCTGGGAAACACCTACGAGTGACTGAAGTAGGGAAATGACAAAATGGCTGGTCAAAAAATTAAAAATATTCACAAAATACATTTTAATATGACAGAACTTTCCAGGTCTGCACCAGCACTGGGGCTGAACGATTGTGGAAAATAATCTAATTGTGATTTTTATTTATTTTTTTAAACCAATATTGCGATGGTGATGCAATGGTGGAGAAGAAGTATCAAATTACAATAATATGAGAAAGACAATTTGAGAGTCAAGTCATGGCATTAAATAATGATATAATATCAGGTCGGCCTACTTGCAGACCACAAGAAAAAAAGTTCACCACAGTGTGTTAGACAGTAAGCGCTCAATACAAAACCCACAGTTCAAGCACCAATTATTAATTAATGCGTCCTTATCTCAGTTCAAATCTCCTAGGAGTCCATCTTTCTATCTACCAGTAGCCAAACAAAACTACTCAGTTTAAGGTTCAATTCTAAACTTGGCCAACGAAAATAAAACCATATGACTTGCTCTTTTGGTTTGAAACGCCGTTTCAGAGATATTTCCTGAGCTGACTGGTGGCTGTGTGTGTGTGACGCAGGCACCTATCGCCACAATACACTTGCCTTACTACACGTGTCTTTCTGTTGTGCACAGCAGGCGTATGGCCCGAAGATTTCACACACTACCACGTTACCCGCAGGTGGTGGGTGCTACTTTCATTCCCTGTGTGACCCTAAATTTCTGTAGTGTCAGCTTCTGTCAAGCTTAAGGCCATTATACAACAAGTCAAGGTACAGCGTAACGTGCAAAGTTGATGCTTCCTCTGCCGACTGGATTACTCTCGCGTGTCATGTGTCCAGCGTGCAATTGCAGCCTTTGTGATTAGAAAATCTTGTTTTATTATAATCGCGATAACATCGCAAATGCAATTAATTGTTCAGCCTTAACCAGCACATATATGCAACATCATATTTTGGGAGGAAAACTTTTTTTCTGATAGATCCATAGAGATCCAACTCACAGGGCTGGCTGGGGATCAGCATGGCAGGACAGAGACCTGAGCTAAGGATTTCTGGTACGCCCTGAAACACAATATGTCCAAAACAGATAAGAAAGTGTGTGGAAATTATTGGTGTAAGAACAGACAGGTATTGGAAAGAAGCATCCAAGGAGGTTTAAATTTAGGCTTTAAACTCACCATTGCATTAGTCACACCATCCATGCAGAAGTTTTTGTAATAATCCAGCTCATCTTTTTTGGCGTGGGCTTTGATTAATGTCATGAACTTGTTGGGACACTTCTCCACACATATCTGAGGAAGAACACCGTTTACAGCGGTATATTGGTGTACAGCAAAAGCGTTCACTGGTCATAATTTGATACAAAACAGCAGAGAGGCTAAATGTCAAGACAAACTGTTTCTCAGACCACGATGCTAAAAAGGAACAAAACCAATAGCTGTGTTCCAAATCCATACATAGCACTTGTGATGTACACAGGAAACGGAGCAGCTGGAAATATTTTTATAAATTATGGATAGTGTTTTGGGTTTTGATTGACCACAAAAGAACCCATGACAAGAGTGGCGTTCACACCTGTGTGGTCGGACATTGGAACTCCAGCAGCACCATGGGGCTGGCACACTTCATGATGTTGAAGTAGAACAGCAGCGGCTTGTTCCTGTTAAAACACACATACAAAATGGTCAGAAGAAGAAACACTTACAGAAACGAGTGCACGAGGTATTAAAGCAATATCTGTGTGACCTGTGCACCAAGTCTTATTCATGTTTTTGGCTATCGTAGCCTAAGACCCTACCCTGATGAAGGCAAAATAGCTCAGCACATTTAGTAAATAAAGCAAGGTGTGCTGGAGAAGAGTTGTGTGATGCGTTTTTATTATTTAGTATCAAATACTTTGAAGCTCACACTGGTCTGCACCTAGCTGTGTGTGAGTTCTCAAAGAAGAAAATGTCCAGCAGAGAAACAGGGACAATTATAATCTATACTTGGAAAGCAACTCACTCAAGTGGGGTGCCAGCCTGCCCACAGAACTGGCCTCGACTGTCTGTGGGATAGATCACCTTCCTGGGATCACCCTTTGACCAAGCTGGAAGAACAAAAATAGAAGGTAAAGCTTACAATTTTTTTTCTGTTTTATTATTTAAACCAAACATTGCATTTAAAAACTGCTGTTTCCTTACCAAGTATTCCCACTGCAATGTAACCCAGTATGGCAAGAATAAAGAAGATGCAGCACACAATGTCTGTGCAGCCCCTAAAATGGAGAGAGCAGAGTTTGAAGGGCTGGGAAACTTTGTGTAGCCACTTAGAAACAATAAAAACCAGAAGTGAAAATCACGTCTCTCTCTCTCTCTCTCTCTCACCTGTTCTGGATTGGCCCTTTGAAGTTTGCATCAAACTTTCTTGGCTCACCTACACAAAATAGGGGAGGAAAAAAGTTTATTTGTTGTTCAGAGGTCTATAAATACATGCGCAAAATTATACTTTTACAAATTTTGTTATGTTACATGTAATGACAATAAGAGTTTTAAAAAAGGGGAGGAGCCGATTTAAGGTTAAAGGTAATTTTGGAATTTAAGATTGGGCCTATTTTGACATATTTTGGGGTCGTGATGACTAGTAGTTACAAAAAGTTTGAACTCCGCGCAGTAGATGGCTTCAGCCGGCAGCCACGGACCAGCTACAACAAATTCCTTTGGGGCAATTACATCCACAGAGTGCATGTTATTGCAACCAACAGGCTCAGGCTGTTACACAAGGTGTATGACATCATCATGGAGAGGTTCACTACGAGTAACACGCAGTGACGCCCCTTTTTTTAAAACCAGAAACCGAAGTCTCTCTCAAGGACAAGTCTTGCTCTAAAATCTCGTGAGAGTCGAGTTGTGGCAGGAAGACGCCGGTGGAAAAATGAAAAGTGAATTTGGATAACCACCAAATTCAAATGACTCCTCCTTTGTTTAAAAACCATGGGGTGTTACTCATAGATATCCTTTCCTTGATGTTGTTAGATATATAACAATCTGAGCCTGTTGGTGGCAAAAAGAAGCACTGTGTGGGAGTAATTCTGACAGGTGCAATTGCCCCAAAGGAATAAGTTGTGGCCACTGCAGCCAGAAGCCATCTGCACAGATTCCAAAACTTTATACCTACTAGTCATTTTGACCTCAAAATATATGTAAATAGGGCACAGGTTAAAAATACAGAAATTACCGTATGAAACAGTACGCTCCCTCCCATTCTTTTGTCAGATGACTTTTCGCTCCAGACAGACACGCCTGGCAATCCAACAAATTCCTCCCTGGTGACTAAGCTAAAGCAAACCCATGTGAAAGGCAGTGCCAACAGAACATGTACAGCCACTAGGAGCTACACCATGTATTGCAGCACATTTAGTTTGACAAGGCAACAGTGTCATGTTGATGATTTATGCCAAAACCAAGAAATGTTAAACTGAATTTAAAGCCCCCCCCCAAAACAAATACACCTCTTCAAACCAAAAAAATGCTCTTTTTTCCTGTTAAGCGTCTTGTCTGAACATATTTATTTGATAATCCCCAGTGCACCCAAGTTATTGTAATGGATGAAGTTGAAACACTGCTATAAGGCTTTACTATTAAGGCCATGCCTTAATGTAATTAGAGATTCTGAGTAAATATCAGATTACTGCAGGTTCGGGCATATAGTTTAAGTTTGGTGCAGGAAATCGGAGGTCAGTCCATTAGCAAATTCATCCTGCCACTCTAGCCTACAATCATCAGGGAACATTAGTTTCACTTAGCAGGTTACTGCTCTCCAGGACAAAAATAAGAAAGCAATGTGCCACATTATTACTTAAGAGCAATTTTGATTAAAAGTCACGCATTGGCAGGCTGCACACCCACTGCTGTAAAAAAAAAAAAATAATGGTTTTATATCCAAAACCACCACTGTTTTAACATCATGGCTGCCTTTTTAGGGCTTTACATATCTCAAAGCACAAAACAATAATCCCATATGCATCCCACAGCATGTACATGTAGCACTGGATCCTGACACCATAGAGTCTCGCCAGAGAAGTATGATATTCTGTGGCATCTTCCATATTAATTATGCATGTGGTTTGGAGGATAATGCTACAGCTATCACGAGCTCTAGGAGAAACCTCAGCTTCCTGTTAGAAAGAGCATAGTGTTTTTCAAATGTTGATGCTCATTGTCACTTTGAGATGCTATTCGAGAGGTTTAGAGTCAAAAATCAAAACAAAGGAGCCCTTGCTAAGCTTAATATGTAGCTGTAGGAACCAGTGACAGGCTTAATGAAGCCTTCATGCAGTTTTAGAATAGCCTGCTCTTTCAATGACTGTACATGCAGCACAGTAATGTTTGTGCAAGAGAAAAACACTGATAAGAGCTCACACACCTGTACAATCAGCAAAACTGCCAGCAGTAGCAGGTTCCACACAAACACACACACCCACTCTACCCCCACAATGTTAACATGTTAATACTGCTGCTCCAGCTTCACTCAAAAAACTATTTACACATCATGAGACACATTGATTTTTTAAGAAGCAAGAAAAGAAAGGCCTAGAGATTAATAATCCTGTTTCTTAGATGAATGCAGAATGCAAAATAAGCTATGAATTCATTTAAAACTAAAACAAATAGAGCGGTTACCATTCTTTCCATAATACTGTCCATCCTCCTCGGGCATGTTGAAATTCCTTTCTGGGCCAAATATACAGAGAACCCTTTTACTCCTTCCACAGCCCCTTTCTGTGGCTCTTCTTCCCTCTGTGCTGGTATAAATGAACAACAGCGAGGGAAATGTGGGTGTTGTTTATGGGAAACCAGTCCAACCTGTCCCTGAATAGCTGTGAGCCTGGTAACCAGCAACCCTCCACTTCCCCTCTTTAACCTGAAACTGCCTCTTGCAAATCTGTGCCCCACCTGTGCATCTCCCTCTATCTCCTCCCACTTCCAAAAGACCTCTTTTTGTCTGTTTTTCCACCTTGTTTCTGCCTCAGAAAAGCTATCCAAAACAGGCAAATGCAAGTATGTACAGGAAGGCTGCGAGTGCAAGAGAAGAGGCATGGTCATGTGAAGAGAGGGTGGGGACTGTTGTTGTATAGGAGGAGGAAAAGTCAAGGAAAGTTGCTTAGATGTTATCAAAAACATGGGTTCGGTGTAAACAAAGAGAACTCCCTCGTGCACCATTGCCTCTAGTGGTGTTCTGTGTAGCTGCTGTGGAGCAGGAATGATTAGATTCAGGTGTGCAGGATATTTTAGGCTGCAAATACCATCACCTGCAGTGAACTGAAAGCCCACAATATTAAGCAAAAACAAAAAAATCTATCATTTTGTGAACTGCCTGAGAAATCTCTTCTTCTCAAAGTGTTTTCACCTATCTTGTGGGGACACAGCAGTATTGCACTGAATGGGAAAAAACACAATTCTTTTAGCTCTACTTAGTGCTTTCGTGCACTGGACATTTTGGATCACTCTCTGGTCTGTCTTGAACAGCCAAAGGCAACCACAGTATGTTGGAGTCCACAGAACTAAATGCCAGAAATGTTTTTTACAGATGCTGACTGAAAGTTTCCATCCATTCTGGTCTTGTTTTATGGCCAATGTTGCACATGGGAATTCCCATCAGGAGCCATTTACTGTAATCTGAACTGTAGTTACTGATGCTACAAGTTTAACAGTGAGTGTAATTGATCCTGAACCTTTTGCTTGGGCTGGCAGACTGCTAGTCTCACATGTGGGACAGTGCAGTGAGTGACATAAGGTGAGGTAAAACCCACAGTTCTGGATTTAAACAGGCCAAATGAATTGTTGGTAAATTAAAAATGTTTTGTGTCGCATTGAGCAACAGTTTTAATTTGTTAAGAGCTCGCTGAGGCATCTAATCTAATTCCAACGAAACACCACTGTGCAACCAGACAACCCTTGAGCCCTCACTACATTCACTGAAAAATACAAGGTTAAATATTTCCTACACGTGTAAGAGCTTTGATTTAATTATCAAATGCCATGCAGTTTTCCTAACAACTCTTTACAAGGCCACCCATTTACAGAGAAACACTACGTATTGTGATTTTGTGTTTTTTGATTAGAAGTACAGCATCTAATTACTGTGTTATTTATTATTATGTCAGAAAGGAAGAAAAACTTTCCGGGAACACAGTCAAATAATAACCGGGTTCCATTATCATTGTTTATGTTGTGTTGGCGCTGTTTACACAGAAACTAAATCAAAAGCGAAACTTAAACCATTCTTGAAACTTGTCTTGCATTGTTTCCTCAGGTACAGTGTTTACTTTGGACGTCGTCTTGTGTTTCCCTTTATTATTTTCTTACCACCGCCCTTCATCCCCCTAATCTACAAAAAATCTGGTAGGCCTTTTTTCTTGGACGTCATTTTGACATGTAGCGGTAAGAAAAGCACAAGTGTAAATACTAAAGTTAATGAAGACTGAATTCCATTAAGTGGATTCAGTTTCAGGCCTGATATGAAACTGAATCCACTGTCATGGCTTACTGGGTCACTTGAGTAGGCCACCATTGTTAATGTTATTACACACAGTTACACCTATGCTGTTCAATGACAAGTCAAAATGTTTGCCTATTCTCTATACGCTGTACCAAAATCTAATTTTACCCCGACACCTAGACACGTAAACTTAATTAAACTTTTATCAATCGGCAACAATTCTGAGTCTGCTGGTACAAAATTAGGCAAGTTACATTTTATTGATTAACAACACCTTTCACAGCAGATATTTTGATTTGTCAAAGCAGGAAAAGCAAAAGTGGAACTTATAACTTAAAGCTATGACTGCAGTAATTAATAATGTAATTTGTTACACCTGTGTTTGAACAGTCAAAATATATGCGGTGAAAGACGTATCCAAAATAGCAAAAGTGTGAAGCATTTTGACTGCAACTAACAATTATTTATTTTATTAACCAATTAGGTTTTCGGTCTATAAAATGTCTGAAAATTGTGAAAAATATTGATCAGTGTTTCCCAAAGCCCAGTATGACGTCTTCAAATGTCTTGTTTTGTCCACAACCCAAAGATATTCAGTTTACTGTCACAGAGGAGCAAAGAAAGCAGAAAATATTCACATTTAAGACGCTGGAATTTTTACTTTCTTTCTTAAAAAATAACTCAGATCAATTAATTGTTTCTCAAAATAGTTGGTTATTAATTTAATAGTTGACAACTAATCGATTAATCGTTGCAGCTCTAATTTTGAGTGGTGTACTTTTTGCTTTGTCTAACTGAAGACATTTTCATTTTACCAATTTTTCCAATTTTAGTAACCAACACCGTTTCAAATGCTACTGGTTTAACTCAGAAATGCATCGTGTTATGAACTTGCATACCATACGTCTTTTTTGCTTTAAGTTCCAGAGAACTAAAAGAACCAAAAACAAAGGTCAAATAAACAGCAAAAGTAATAAAGCCACACATTCTAGAAATTCAAGGGCTATATCTGAAAGGACTGTGATATAACCTGACAACACAGTAGTTGCAGCTGCTGAACTCCCTGCCCATCGCCCACATGTCTTTCATTAAAGTAAAAGGCTGGGGAGCATTCAAGTCAGATCTTTTCAACTCAAACACACACAAATCAAAGGTATATAGCCACAGTATAATGTTGTTTCCTTACAACAAAATATGGCACAGCTGTATCATAATATATTTCCTAGTTTCTAAAACAAATAAAAGGTAACGGAGCCATATTTTATCTAAACTTGATCTCTAACCACCTCTGCTTAATCTTTAAAATGTGTCATCTCTTGGGATCCTACTGACCTCATGACAGTGAAACTTCTGCTCCCATGATCTATGAACTCACAACCCCTTATCTCTTGCTGGTGTTGTTACACCCGGTGTGGCTACTTCAGTAACTCAGACACGGTGGACAGAAAGTGAAACCAAGATCGACTGCATGCATGTATGCTGTATGAATTAGAATTATTATTATCTGACACACATGGGAAACAGGAAGCCAACACAAAAACATTTTCTGGACTAACTATTCTCTTTATATGACCTCACAGTTGCACATTCCTGACTACAGTATAACAGAGACTTCGGGGAACATTTGAGGAAAATAAAAGTAGCTGTTAATGTTCTGAAAAATGTGTTGCTTCCCTATTAACAAAGAAAAACATTCCTTATCAGTAAAGATAGTCAGCAAGCTCTGCGAAGATAACAAACACAGCTGACTCGTAGAAGAAATGTACTAACGCAGCATAAAATACAGATCACTAGGGTTGTCCTGTTCCACATCCAAATTACCTTGCATTTGTATCTCTTCTCTCCAAACTAATTTTCCCTGACCCTAATAACCGATCAGTCCCACACTGCTCTGAACAGCCTTTGTATTTCAGACTGTAGACAAGTTGGCAGAACCACCTAGACAGTTGGCAGAGTCACATGATCTAGTTTGGGTTGTTGGTGAAGCACATTTAGGTGGAAATGGGCGGCTGCAGTGACAACAGAGGTTATTGGCTGTTTGTTTGTAGTATGGATGTAAAATGGTACAGCAAATGTAGCAGGACAAAATCAGCAAATGTAGCAGGACAAAATCTGCAAATGCAACTCAAACAAGCTTTGACAAACTGCACGAACATGAAAGAGAGGCCAGAGAGGCTCGGCATCAGGTTTCAAACTACCCTCCTAAATATGGCTTATAATTACACCTATTCTGCACCAGGGCATGGCTGCCTGGCTGCCTGGCTTCTTCAAGTCCTGTCATTGAGGTTTCTGGATATATCGCAGCCTGAAATTACTCCAACATGGGAAATTGTGGTGGACCCTGCAGTGTGTTCTGAAAGGCTCTCCCTGTGATATGTTTAGGTTACCGTATTTGTCTTCTTCTTCTTCTTCTTCTCAAAGTCTCAAGATGCAATGAGAAATATGAATGTGTGTGTTGCACTAAATAGAGGCGGTTATCCCAAACCACAGTCATTCCTTAAGTGAATCTGCAGCCAAGTCACAGCCATCTTCTACCATGAATCCAATTATGCCGCGACTCTGTTTCTCTCTATTTGTCATCTCACTCTGTGTCAAACTGCCTGGATCCTCGTTAGTATTTTGGTTATTACAAACGAGCACATAAACTATGGTACTGCTGGTTTGTGTGCCATGTGAGTCAATCACATGGCAGGCAGAGTGGAAAACATTATGTTAAAGCCACGTCGTGAAACCAGCAAAGAAGTGCCTCACATTGAGAGGCTGCAGCAGAACAATATGAATTGCAAAATCCTTTTTAAAAACTGAAGGAGTCCATTTAATTTATCATCGTGTCCAAAAGACGAGGTTGTTGGCCCAAAACAAGGCCTTTCCAGAGCAAACATGCTCCATAAATATGCTTTTTCCTTTGCGTGAATTGTTTACTGCTTTATTTCTCTGGATGAAATGCACGTCCCCTTTATGAATCCTGCTGAGCAAAGAGCTGTATATCACACCCAGCAAACAAAAGGGTGTGTCACTATAAGACACGTTTATTGGGGCATTTGGGGTAAGGAGGGCATAATTACAACCACACAGATGGAGTGGCAATCCATGCAACTAAAGACAAACTGTACTTAACAATACATTAGATTCAGGAATTTAGATTTTAAAACAAGCATGTAGCCTGTGTATGAACATACTGTTTAAAATATGACACCACCAAGAGAGGCTGAACGCATCCAGTTAACAAACGGAGACCCTCTTCACATGTTTGAGGCATTTTCTAATAAGCCATATGCATAACTGGGCGTCAACTGAGCTCATGTTGCCTGCCATACCAATCTGAGGAATGTGGCAGCAACTGGACAAGCAGAGGATAAACTGGGACATTGTACACCGTGACAATATACGAGGCAGTCACCAGCTCAATTACATACAAGCTGAATGTTAAAAAATATGACAGACTAAAAACGGTGTACAAAGTGAACTCACAATTGTCAGTACTAAGCTAATTACTGAGGTTGGCACGAAATCACAAAGTCACTTTATGAGAGAAAGTGGTCCACTACTAACTTACCATACAACTTGCGACATTAAAAAAACTCGCAGAAAACAATACACGTATTATGTAAATACTGACACAATTGAAAGAACAATTTGCGCCAAGACTCGCAAATACACTGCCGTCTTGCGCCTAAACAAAACTAGCTAAGCTTGGTTATAGCTGTGAGGTTAAAGTCGCGGTGTGGGAGCTAACGTTATCCCAGGACAACATTGTGAGACATGCCCATTATTACCATATTTCGGTTTCTCTTCCAGTTCCATGATCACCGAGTGTTGCTTCTGGACCAAAGGATGCTTGCAGGCGACAATTACAGCATATTTCCAGCCTTGACAGGGGTTAACGTGTAGCGCTTCTGTCAATTTGAGCACTTCGTAGAAGTCCGCTCCAAAAATATTGACTGTACTGCTCACATTTAAAGGGAGAATCCTGAGAGGAGAGCACTGACCAATGACAGCGCAGGACGCCGTGATGGACAAGATACTAAACCAATCAATGAGCGGAGGCGGGAGTTTATGGTGCAGGGGAGTGAGTTAGTTTCTTGTACCGTTAACTGACACAGGAGTAACTGTCCAATTAGCTGTTATAACTAACTGTGTGTTGACTGTCCGCCCAATACACTTACTGTAATCTCAATAGTTGATGGCAAATAACAAGGGCTGTATCACTGTGTTTGTCCATCATTACTCAGTCATAATGTGTCCTCATCTGCCAAGAGCGCTGCAAATCAATGGCATACGTTTATTGGCCTGGTGAAATTCTAGACGACATTAATTATAAAAGCAATGTATTCATTCATAATTCAACTTAAAGGCCTAACATTGCCTGGTCTGACTCTGCACTCTGTGAGGCACGACAGCTGCTGGTGGGCTGCAGAGGTGGAAGAGGTATGAAGTATTAAAAAGCACAGTAGTACAAAGTATTGAAAGGTAAAATCATCCACTATGCAGAATGGCCCTTTTCAAAGGATTATATCTGTATCACTATAGGTCTATCTATCTATCTATCTATCTATCTATCTATCTATCTATCTATCTATCTATCTATATATATATATATATATATATATATATATATATATATATATATATATATAAGTTGGCCATATGTTAAATAGTATCTGCAAAGAAACTACAGCTGTCAAATAAAATATTGGAGTGATGGGTATTTTATTAATTGTCATGGAGAAGATGACTATGACCTTAAGTGTGAAATGTGTCTTGTTGCTGCATAAAGATTTTTGTTACCAAAAGGTAAATTTCACAGATAGGCCTATCAGTTGTGAGTGCTCAGGCAAGAGTACTATACAACATAAGCCAATGATGGAGGTATTCAAATCCATAGACGTAGAAACATCACTCTGCAGGTAAAATGTCATACCTATTTTATATGTAAATTACAGGTTTTAATTAACAACCTTAATAGCAACTGAGTTGTCAGACAAATTAAGTGGAGTAAAATATACAATATTTCCTTCTTACATGTGGTGGAGTAGAAGAAGCATTTAAATTAAAATGCAAGTACCGCAGAATACTGTAGTACAGATCCTGAATAAATGCACTTAGTTACTCTCCACCATAGACACAAGCTAATCCTGAGTTCTCTGCTTTTTTCTTTGCCCACATTTAATTACATTTTTAAAGTAACTTATATTTCTTGTACAGCTTATAGAGGGATTTCAGAGATCACAATGGCAGAGGTGGTTGCAGTAAAGCTGATTCTTACCAAATTCAAACCAACATGGAGGTTTATTGACTGCTGCACTCTTGTGGCTCTGTGGGCCTCCTGCAAGGAGTATTTGTAAGTGGAAAAGAAACTTTAAAAACTCTCAGACAAGTATAAAGAACATGTCCAGCAGTCAGGAGTACTGCTATAAGAACAACTGAAGTACTTATTGTGTCTGATCTCAGGACTGGAAGGCTAAACCTCCTGAGAAACCGACGCTACTACCAACGTCATCTTACCATGGAACTGGGTACATTTTATTCTGGGAACTCAAGCACCAATATAGCCACAGAAATCCACTCCTCCCAAATTCACGCCTCTCCTAATGAGCCAATCAGAGTCGTCTGTAGTGGTTTAGGATCCTCTAAAGGCGGCCATCTTCAGTGATGATGGATGGCCACAAACAAAGAGTTCACTCATATTAATATGTCGGAGTCTCAGATGTTATGTGTTCTGCCTTCACATACACACAATTATTGATTATGTACAAGAATAGTTTACACAGTTTTAATCTTTGTCACTGACGATGCCACACTCAACATGGCGCACTCAGCGTAGCGTGCTTTACGTGCTGACGTCAGGCTGTGTTTTGACGTTCAGTGTCACTGACTGCGCCGTCAACCCGAGGGGCAGAAAAAGGAAATCAGGACAAGGATTGTCACACCTAGCACAGGTAAAAAGCTGCTTATGCAACTGCCAACATGGCTTCTACTGTTATTGTCAACACGGCGCTCGTGCACTACAGGTCATTCGAAAATGTTGCTGTTAACATCCAAGTTACGTGAGCTCGTGCTGTTAGCTTGTTGCTACAGTAAAGTCACACAGGTTAGCTGAGCTAACTTCGCCTGCTTACATACCAAATCGGGTCGGCTGTCAGGGCTAGGGTCCGTTTGCTTGACACTGTAATAGGTTGCTTTTTATTTTTACTATTACAGTGAACTGAAACCGCCTCAACAGCAGTCAAGTTAGTTAATTTACTGCAGCTCGTATGGACATTTCTCTTCCACGCTAGTTAAAACCTACTTTCATATAAAACTCATGTATATGTCTAAAACGTTCGTGAGCCAGGGAGACTTACTTCTTCTCACGGCATCATCAGTTCAACTCTTGATGCTGGTAATTCTCAGTTTAGGAAGACAGTTAAAGTTACTGTCATTGATTTCACTACAGGCTACATGGTTGGCTGTTTAATAAACTGCACTTTTAAGGAATGTGAATCAAATAAAGAAACTGTTTATTTAATAGACTAATCTTCATCATGGCATTGAGGAGCGCTGTGTGCCGTCTCTTGGTGAACCCTCAGAGATATGCCATCATCTCAGCTTCCAGAGCACAAGGAACTGCAGCACCTGCCAGGCAAGGTAAGTCCTATAACACCAGGCCAGCCACAGAGATAACACTGTTATGAAGGGAAAGGTCACCACCCACAGTAGCGTCTTTCCTTTCAGATGGTTAGTGTCTTTTCATGGTAGCATTTAATTTGAAGCTATATTTGACACAGTGCACTCTGGAATTTCACAAAGAGTCATATACTGTATATAATTATAAAAAGATTAAGGAAGTGTTCCTAAATGCACCTTAGACTGTTGTAAATGTGATAATTATACAAAGTGACACTTGAGTTTTCCTTAACTATTTTAGATTTTCAGCAAATACAGTGTTTTATTTTCTTTTTTCAAATTAAATCCTTACATTTTTTTTTCGACAGATGCCGAGAAGACTGAGCAGAAGTATAAAGCACGTAGGTGTTAATTACTCCTTATTTCTGAAATCTACTTTATGTCAGAGATAATGATTTGAATTGGAAGTTCTCAACAGAACATATTTTTAACCAGGTTTTCAAGGTTTTTGAATTGTTAAATTATAAATGTCTGATAGCTAAGGTCCAGTTCAGCTGGCAAGATGCCCTGAACCTGGAGGGCCAGCTGACGGAGGACGAGATCATGATCCGAGACTCCTTCCGGATCTACTGCCAAGAGAAACTCATGCCTCGCATCATTATGGCAAACAGAAATGAAGGTGAGAGATTACTTTTTACATCATGCGTGAGCCAGAGTCCTTCACTTGATTTTTCGTTCAGCTTTAATGACTCCCCATGTTGCCTTCAGGTGCATAATGTCCAGTGTAGGTGTCTATATGCAATATGTGCTGCAAGATTGCCGCTTTATCAGTCAGTTGACCTTGTAAAATAAAGGAATGTAACTCCTCTAACTCAACCTTATGTGACAACTGGTTGTCTTTTTTTTTTTCAGTGTTTCACAGAGAAATTGTGTCAGAGATGGGAGAGATGGGTGTCCTGGGCCCAACCATTAAAGGTGAGTCTGAACAAGTCAACTTGATTTGACAGTGCCACTGTTCACTACTCGCTGCATGCATGTTCATGAGGCCAATCCCACATATGGTATATACCCTTCAATGTTTTGGTAACTTTAACAGAAAGCACCACAGATATGTGTGTATTACTTCCTATTATGAAACAGCAAAATTTCTCTTACGTAAATGATTGAAATGGACTTTGGCCATGTGCAAACTGGATCTGTGTGTGTTTGTTTTTGAGACATCTAGTGTGCCAATCGAACCTTACTTTATTTCTTAACATTAATTTGTTTAATGCGTTACATTTTAAATGTAATAATGCAGACAATAAATCCTGTGTTTGATATAAAGGTTATGGCTGCGCTGGAACGAGCTACGTGGCCTACGGTTTGATCGCCAGAGAAGTAGAGAGAGTGGACAGCGGCTATCGCTCAGTCATGAGTGTGCAGTCATCACTGGTCATGCACCCAATTAATGCCTATGGCACAGAGGAGCAGAAACAGAAGTACCTCCCCAAGCTGGGTAAGAAGAGAAAGATGTTACCCGTCAGTAGTCTGTCCGTTTGTATTGACAGTGGATGGGTGAAAATGTATCTGTTGTCATATATTAATACATTAACCATAAAAAAAAATGAGTGACTGCGCTCTTGGTTTATTTCAGCTCGTGGAGAGCTCCTGGGTTGCTTTGGCTTAACGGAGCCCAACCATGGTAGTGACCCCAGCAGCATGGAAACCAAAGCCAAATACAATCCATCCAGTCGCACCTACACTCTCACTGGCTCAAAGACCTGGTGAGTAGTGGATATGTGCAAAATCATAAGAGACGTTTCTGGAGGTGCGCCACAATAAATAGCATGTCACTGAAGTCGGGATTTGAAGTGACATCTCAGCATATTGTGTCATTTCAGGGTTTACACCTTGTAGTTTTACTTATTACATTACCATAACAACTCTAATTTGCTCTCTGATTGAAGGAAGAAGTATAAAATATATTTTATACCAGTGTAATAACCCTCCAGGAAAGCCATGTAGGATTATAAATCAGCTTATCTATTACACATTTCTGCAAATACAGAACCGTGTGTGCGAGCCCAGCTAACCTTTAGCCCAGGAGGACTATCTCAAGACAGCATGAAACGGCATCATCAAAAATAAAGACATTGAGACTTCATTTGGCAAGGCAAGGCAAGTTTATTTGTATAGCACAATTTAACAACAAGGTAATTCAAAGTGCTTTACATAAAACATAAAAGCAACAGGGAAATATGTAAAAGTTTAAAAACAACATAAAATATAAAAAAAGTTAAAGTGTTACAATCAGGTTTAAAAGAGTTAAATGGAAAATAATACAAAGCTAAAAACAAAGAAAAAGAAAACAGGACAGTAAAAGTAACGGTGCAGTGTAAGTTATCAATAAAAAGAAAAATCTTAAATATTTAATTAAAAGCAATGGTAAGAAGAAAAGTCTTCAGTCTTAATTTAAAAGAACTGACTGTTTCAGCAGACCTGCAGTTATCTGGGAGTTTGTTCCAAATATACGGAGAATAATAACTGAACGCTGCTTCTCCTTGTTTAGTTTTGACTCTGGGGACAGAAAGCAGACCTGCCCCAGACGACCTGAGAGGTCTGTATGGTTTGTAACAAAGCAGAAGATCGGAAATGTATTTTGGCCCTAAACCATTTAGTGCTTTATAAACTAACAGCAGGATTTTGAAATCAATTCTTTGACATACAGGAAGCCAATGTAAAGACCTCAGAACTGGAGTGATGTGATCTACCTTTTTGGTCTTAGTGAGGACTCGAGCAGCAGCGTTCTGAATCAGCTGCAGCTGTCTGATGGTTTTCTTAGGGATTCCTGTAAGGACACTGTTACAGTAGTCAAGTCGACTGAAGATAAATGCATGGATAAGTTTTTCCAGGTCCTGCTGAGACATAAGTCCTTTAATAGTCCTTTATATATTCTTCAGGTGATAGTAGGCTGACTTTGTAATTGTGTTAATATGGCTCCTCAAATTCAGGTCTGAGTCCATGACTACACCAAGATTTCTGGCTTGATTTGTGGTTCTTAACATTACAGATTGAAGTCAAGCACTGACTTTCAATCGTTCCTCCCTGGCTCCAAAAACAATAACTTCAGTTTTATCCTTGTTTAATAGAAGAAAATTCTGGCACATCCAATCATTGACCTGTTCAATAAAGTTACTCAGCGCCTGTATGGGATCATAGTCCCCTGGTGAAATGGTTATGTAAATCTGTGTGTCATCTGCATAATTATGGTAACATACAGTATTTTGTTGTTTTTCATAATCTGAGCCAGTGGAAGCATGTAAATGTTAAACAAAAGAGGTCCCAGAATGGAGCCTTGGGGAACTCCACATGTCATTTTTGTCAGCTCAGATGTGTGATTACCTATAGACACAAAGTAGTCCCTGTCCTTTAAGTAGGATTCAAACCAGTTTAGTACTATGCCAGAAAGTCCAACCCAGTTTTCAAGTCTGTCTAGTAATATGTTGTGGTCGACCGTGTCGAATGCAGGATCCAATAATACTAAGACTGAAATTCTGCCACTGTCAGTGTTTAAATGGATGTCATTGAAGACCTTAACAAGAGCTGTCTCATTGCTGTGGTGTGGTCAAAAACCTGACTGGAAGACATCAAAACAGTTATTTAGTGCCAAGAAAGCATTAAGCTGTTGAAAAACAGCCTTTTCAAAGATTTTACTTAAAAATGGGAGATTTGATATGGGCCTATAATTGCTAATTAGTGAACTGTCTAGATTTCTCTTTTTTAAGAGTGGCTTAATAACTGCAGTTTTCAGTGCCTGTGGGGAAAAAACCTGAGAGGAGAGACATGTTGACAATTTGTAGTAAATCTGAGGCCATGCATTTAGACACATTTTTGAAAAAACCTGTTGGCATAATATCAAGGCAGCATGAGGAGGATTTCAGATGTTGTATTATGTCCTCCGGGTTTTTATGGTTAATAGAATCAAATTGTCTGTCCTGTTACTGACATGGAGGCACTGATTGCTTGTCTAATTGTTTGAATTTTGTCTGTGAAGAAGGAAGCAAATTCATTGCAGGCCCTGGTGGATAGAAGTTCAGAGGCTACAGACACAGGAGGGTTGGTTAGCCTGTCGACAGTAGCAAACAGGGCCCGTGCATTATTAGTGTTTTTGGTGATGATGTCAGAGAAGAAGGACCGCCTTGCATTTTTAGATCTTTATAGATGTCATAATGAACCTGGAGATTTGTTTTCCGCCACCTGCGTTCAGCTTTTCGACACTCTCTTTTTTGAGTTCTAACCAGCGTGGCATTTCTCCATGGAGATCTTCTCTTACCAGAGACCACCTTCACCTTGGCTGCTGCAATGGCATCAATAACATTTGTAATTTTAGAACTGAAATTATCTACAAGCTCATTGACTGAGACCCGTGAGAGGGCGGGTGTTGAGGAGAAAGCCTCTATAAATTTTTCACTAGTGTTTTCAGTGATATGCCGTTTTGTGATAACCTCTGTTTTAACATTTGTGTGCACGTAGATAGCACTCTCAAAGAAAACACAGGAATGATCAGAGAGAGCAACATCAGTCACCACAACCTTGGAAATGTCCAGACCCTTGGAGATGACCAAGTCCAAAGTGTGCCCCTTATTGTGCGTGGGCCTCGTCACATGTTGGGTCAGTCCATAATTATCAAGAACACAAAACAGTTCTTTAGTCCCTCTGTCCTGGGGATTGTCAACATGGATGTTAAAATCACCAACAATAACCACGCAGTCAAAGTCAATACAGATTATTGACAGCAGTTCACCAAAGTCATGAAAAAGTTTGCACAGTATTTAGGGGGCCTGTACATATTTAGAAAAATAGCTCGAGAAGAGGAATTCAGCTGAAGAGCCACATATTCAAAAGAAGCAAAATTAAGACATCTTTTTGCATTGGAGGGAGTCATTAAACAAAATGGAAACTCCACCTCCTCTCTTATGGACTCTAGCTTCACTCATGAAGCTGAAGTTGGGAGGGGTAGACTCGATAAGGACAGCTGCACCGTTATCTTGGTCCAACCAAGTTTCAGTTAAAAACATGAAATTAAGATTGTGAGTGATTATAAAATCATTGATTAAAAATGTTTTTCCTGCCAAAGACCTAACGTTTAACAAAGTTAAATTTAGTGTGTTAAAAACATTATCTGGCCCACTTTTTTCGACAGGCTGCGGCTGACGAGGAATTAATACTAAATTTGCAGGATCTGTTGAGTGCTTCCTGTTTTTTAACACATTCACCATGCTTTTTCTGTTACCTGTCAAGACAGGGATGGAGAAGTCTACCAGCACACTGGGCCCTGGCTTGTCCTGGGAAGAGTCATGAGTGCTATTTTCCTTGTAGCCTGGACCCAGCACATATCAGACAGAGCTTACTGGGCTTTTTCACCATTGCGGAGCGCGAAGGCGGGTTGTGCGCTGTATTTGTGACACGTGTCAAACCTGGAGGACTTAGAACCAGTGGTGGAGGTGGGCGGTGAGGGGGGTTTAGGGTAGAGAGAATGGGAGTGGAGCGAGGGAAGGTGCGGGGAGTAAATCTGGTCCCAGCTCTAACCAGGTCTTCCATGTGATCAGTGAAGTCCAACAGGGGGGAGAGGGGAGAAAGTGTGTCTGAAGGTGGGGATTGGGGGGGTAGAGATGTTGAATCCTCACTGTTGGTTTTCAGTGAGAGAGGTGGAGGCTCTTCCTCTTGGCTCAGATGTCTCCAGTGATCAGAGCTCTCTTCCAGTGGGGGCTGAGGTGGCTCTACTTCAAGGTTTCTGGCGTGTTGTGTTATGTCTTCTTCTTGTTTTGATTCCTCTTGTCCTTGGCAGAGGGAACAGATGAGTGATGCAGAAAGTAAAACAGGTTGGAGCTGAACAATTTTACACCTGACTTGTTAAGGCGAAGTCCATCTGCCTTAAAAAGATGCCTGCGGTCCCACAGAAAGTAAAAGTTTTTGATGAAATGCACTGAATGGACAGAACATGCCGTTGAGAGCCACGTGTTCAATTCCATCAATCTGCTGAATCTCTCAGCTCCTCTTTGGACTGGCAGTATAGGGCCACTGATAAACACCTCAGCATTCAAAGAGCTGACTGTGTTCAACAGATTATTAAAGTCCTCTTTCAACACTTCAGACTGTTGCTTCACAACATCATTGGTCCCGATGTGCAGTATGATCTTTTTCACAGTAGGATGTTCAGCCACAATATGCAGGATTCTTTCTGCCAAGTCAGACACCGTATCCTTCGGAAAACAGAGTATTTTGGTGTTCTTACTGCACATGCTTCTTACATCGTTTACAGCAGCGTCACCCACAATCAGAGTTTGTAGATTTGTAGCACATGGCTCTGTATGTCATTAGTTGTCCACATGGTGGAGCTCTTCACAGTCAAATGCTGTGAGAAACTGAGTTTTACTAGGGTCTCATTTGATGAAACCAGTGGTGTCCTTGTTTGTTTTTGTTTTTAAACAATTTTAGAACTTCATACAAATAAATAAGTCTATTATGCTGTAAGTCCAAAACAAACGTAACATTGGAAGAAATGTTGCAAAAATGTTCCCAGCACTGTCAGTTCATGAAGATAACATGCAGAACAGATTACAGTACATGTTCTGTAGTTGGTTCAAATATGCGTAGTTTATTCTTTATAGAAAAAATTGGGCCTACCAGTGCATACAAAAAGGCGTCTCCCTGACCTTCCCTTTGCTTCTACCTTCAGGATCACTAACTCCCCTGTGGCGGATGTAGCTGTAGTCTGGGCCAAATGTGATGATGGGAAGATCCGCGGCTTCATCTTGGAGCGTGGCATGAAGGGCCTCTCAACACCTAAGATTGAGGGGAAATTCTCCCTGAGAGCCTCCGCCACTGGTATGATCCTCATGGACGAGGTAGAGGTCCCTGAGGAGAACCTGCTGCCTAAAGTGTCCGGCCTCGGGGTGAGTGGAGCTAAGCCATGGACAGTGTAGTAATGTGTTTGTGGAAGATACTCAAATAGCTGTACGCCTTTGCTCCATTACATTCACAACATGAAACAAAGTTTGTGACTCACCGACTACAAATTATACAGTGTGGCTCAGCGTTTTACAATTCAAACACTTAGTAGCAGTAATTGCTCATCACACTCCTTTTGTTGTTTCCAGGGTCCCTTTGGCTGCTTGAACAACGCTCGTTACGGCATCGCATGGGGAGCTCTGGGTGCTGCAGAGTTCTGTTTCCATGCAGCTCGACAGTACACGCTCGACAGGTCAGGTGTCCCAAGTGTCTGTGTAATGTCATCTTCTGTGGTCATGCATGTGTACCGGGTTAAAATGACATTTGCGCAACAAAATGCTCACATTTTTACTTCAGTTTAGACAAATATATGTCATGTTTATTTATTGATAAACATGAGGATAACACAGTTTTATTGTTTTCTATACCAGAATCCAGTTTGGCGTGCCACTGGCAAGGAATCAGCTAATGCAGAAGAAAATGGCGGACATGTTGACAGAGATCACCATCGGCCTACAGTCCTGTCTGCAGCTGGGAAGACTCATCGATGAGAAAAAGTAAAGATGACTTTATCCTCTACCTGAAGCGTATAGATGGGATGTGACAGGGTGTTGGCACTAATGTTTCTTGAGGGGCCAATCCATCAAACCGCACAGTCACTCTGACCTCTTCCTGTCAGGTAGAAAAGTGTTTCTCCCTTTGGTTCTCAACGGTGTCATGAAACAGTTTGAGACTACAAAATTGAGCTTAAGCTAGATCTGACTGAAGCAGTGTCATTGCGCCCAGCTGAGGAGACACAGTGCCAGCAAACAACACGTGAACAAATGCCAACACCATATCTGAAGGATAACATCTTTTGTTCCCTTTTATGTTTCTGTCTTCCCCCTACTGCCTGTAGATTTCCCTATTAGGTCATCTCTAGCTGGCCTTAATCAAGAACAACAAATCTATCTGATGTTTAGACTCCGATGCTTCGTCATATTGGAATCTATTACTATCCATGAGTTGTAATCTAATCTGTGGAGCCAGTAAATTCTTGTAAACATTCTCGTAAGACTCAACCTTGTTAGATTCCCAGAGAACAGTGACATCTCCTAGCCTGACTCCTGAGCTACTGTCTCTACCTTATTAGTTTAACTGTTGTCTCCCTAACGAGCACAGTTACATGGGAGAAATAACTCCAGCTGGAAGGTCAGTGAACACTTGTGGGGTCAGCTAATGTCTCTAAGCTAGACCTGTTTTACCTTTCCCTGTTACATTAATTAAGACACCTAAGATAAACAGTTCATGACCTTAGAGGTGTCACTGTGTCCTTTTGGTGGCTCTGTAGTTTTAATTCATATCCAGGCATTGCATTCAGTACAAAGAAGACACTAAACTGCAATTTTGTTTCTGCTTAACAGAGCGGCCCCAGAGATGATATCCATGCTGAAGAGGAACAGCTGCGGTAAAGCCCTCGACATCGCCAGGCAGGCCAGAGACATGCTGGGAGGAAACGGCATCTCAGATGAGTATCACATCATCCGCCACGTCATGAACCTGGAGGCTGTCAACACATATGAAGGTGAGGAGGAAGGAGAAACTTTACTTTAGTTCCACATGAGACATGCATGCGCACACAATAGGCGGAATGATACAAATAGATTTTAAACAAGCAGAATATGTAACTATTTTTATTATTATACTATTTTTATTTATTATGTTTATATTAACTCAGTTGCTTCACATTAGTGTCCAATAGTTATCTGTGTCCCATCTACACACGATTTGCTCCTGTTCATCCTGTTTGATATCGGTCGTCTCCTCCTTTAGGTACCCATGACATCCACGCCCTGATCCTGGGCAGAGCCATCACGGGCCTGCAGTCCTTCACTGTGGGCAAATAGATCCCACCTCTTGCTGCTGCTCCCAACCAACAGGAATCTGCTGTCAGAAATGTAACTCGCATGTTGACTCCACAGTGGTTTTTACACTCTTGATGATTTCTCAAATGAATTGTGGCGATGTTTGTTTTTCTCTCATGTTTGTAGAATATATATTTGAGTGCTTTATTTTGAGGGCAAGAACAAGTTGTAAGTCTGTCAATGAAAGTTGAAATAATTTTTCAAATTATAAAGGGCTATTTTTCTACTCTCAGACTATAGCAGAGATTTTGTTCCAGCTCCCCATTTCTTAGTTGTATAGAAAATTCATTGTATAGACTTTCACGGACAACCCCGTACTAGTATTAACACTTCTGAATGAAGTCAAGATCTAGATTTGCTGCTGGTTACTGATGTATGAAACATTAATACTGTAATTATAACAAACAAAGCATGAATAACCACAACTTGTTTGGAATAATGCTACAGTCCCTGTATAACTGGTGTAAGAGATCAGGTACTATTGTAAGACACACCATGGTGATTACTTCTAGGACTGTACTGGCTCTGTCACTAAGGTGTCATATCTTTGCATGGTTTGCCAGAGGTCAAGGATGCTGATAAGAGCTTTAATAAATAAAATAAAAATAAGTATTCCAAATGTCTAAATCGAAGTAGATCAATGTGATACTTTTTTATATTTATCAATGGCTAAGATGCAACACAAAGTCTTAACCATACAACTGTAGATCATTTGTGCTGTGTGTTGAAGTCACATGAAAATGCTAGTCGTGAGGTTAAATATGCTTCATATGTGTTGGCTTCAGTTGTGTGCTGTTGAAATTCAGAAAAAACTCAGTTGTCATTGTCATTTGTTCTGGATTTCTGTGAGATTCCCACGGGAGGAGAGTTATTTTTGCTATTCATCACAGGACTGGGACGGGACAGGAAGAAAAGTCAATGGGAGCAGGAAGGCAGTTCTAATATGAATACATGCTATTTTCAGATTTCTTTATCGGGAATGGGATGGCATGGGAGTCATTTTTCTGAGATTGGGACGAGAGATAAATTGTTTTTTACTCTGTCAAGGATTTGGAACAGGACAGGGTTATTTTTGTGGGAGGGTGATGGGACAAGAGAGAAAATCCACTCCTGTATGACCCTCAAATATGTACCAATACAACAATGTAAAAATTCTCTAGTACAGAAAAAGTGCTGCATTCAAAATTTTACTCACTAATTATAGGGACAAACATATTCTTCTTAAAGTTGCCTACAAATACTTAAGAATAGTACTCACTCGGCAGAAGAAATGTGACTACATACAGTTACTACTGGTTCTCAATCTAGGGGTCACAAGATAAATGTGGGGTCATGAGACGTTAATGGGAGAGGAAAGAAGAAAAACTTTTTTCTAATCTTGTTATTTGTTGTCACATTTTTGTAATAAGATCTCAGAATTTTGACTTTTTCAGTATTAAAGAACTCATACTTCTGACTTAACATTTATCACTAAAAGGTTTTCATTGTGACTTGAAAATTCAATTCCACACTAATAATTTTACCACTTTTGGCCTCATAGTCATACAAATAAAACCATCTTCAACAATACAATGTTTTTATTTATATCTGTTTTTACGTACAATCTTAAACTGAAAGGTGACTTGTAAGTATAACTGTCACAACTGTAATAAATATAGTTTAGTAAAAAAGTACCTTTCCCTTCGAATTGTGGTGGAGTAGTACAGCAAAGGCAGTGGTGGGAAGTAACTAAGATACATATACATAAATACTGTATTTGAGTACAATTTTGAGGTACTTCTATGAAGTCAGGTCACTGGCCATCTCTTGGAGTCCAGTTAAATCAATCGTTTAGAAATATGAAGAGACTCTTGTGAGGGTAGAGGATGCAGTCTGAAAGAAACCTACAACTTGGGAGAAGATTTGTTTTTCACCAACATTGAGGCTGTGTGTAAATCCAAACCTCCACAGGAATGACTTCAAAACATCACTGTTAATGTCCTGGAGTGAGTCCAGATCTCAGCCCAACGGAGGATGTCTGGACTTCTTCACCTGACGGAGCTTGAGCAGTTCACAAAAAAGATTGAGGAAACATTGCAGAAAAAAACTGATCATACAGAGTCAAGGGTGTACTTGCTCACGTACTTTATAATGATTTGGGGGAATGAATATTTATACAAACATGCATGGTTTAGGTAGGCTATTCTATGTATTATATGTCTATGTATGGACAACTAAGGAGAAGTGAACCCCACAAAATGTTCTCCGGGCTGAGCCGATAATCTCTGCTGGGGATTTTTCTCTTTAAATCCACCGGGGCTTCATGGATGTGCGGGTGGACAGTGCCACAGGACAGATGAAAACCTCCATCCTCACTAGCTTCATTGCATGTCAGCCACTAACACATTGAAGTGAGGCAATTAAATCCCTGGCCGTACATGATGTCGTGGCGTGTTCCACACAGCGCTTATATAAGGAAATTGCTTTTCCATGTATTATTTTTTTTTGGACCAATGGCCTTATATCTTTCAGGCATGTGACTATTTGTGTGGCTACAGTGTGTTCTGTGTCTCTCATACATTAGCAGTGGCTATGGCAGCCAAATACTCAGATAATTAGGACGATTTTCATCTCAAATAATCCTCTGGATCATTATTATAAATTATTATTATAACCTCTATGAGTTTGACTCATTATGAAAGAGCATGTCATCTGCTGGTGTTGCATGATTGGACGTTATACCCTGACAATCTTTTAAAGCATTTAACAGGGACAAACATGCTAATCATCTGACTGCACAAAAATACAAGATTATGATTTTGGGATTTGGGGGTAGGAGTGGTGCAACTTTTCTGGGACAGGTTTATGCACATCGAGAGCTTAAAGGATGCTGGATGTGGTGGCCTGGCTCAGTAGTCACCTCACAGCACAGATGTTGTGGGCTGTTCCTTGCGATGTACATTGGCAACTCTAAATTGCCAATAGGTGAATGCAGTTGTCATTGACCATTATCTGGGATTTGGTGTTGTTTCCTGGTCTTAAAGGCTGCATTGCAATCAACTGTTTTGTTTGAGCTGAACAAATACTGAAGACCTACTTGTTTGGCTTCACCGCTCAGCCTTTGCTGCCAATTTTTCCCAGTAGCCAACAGCGATGCTGCAGTGAAAACAATCCCTCTCTGCCCAAAAAGAAATTTCTACATAGGCCACCATTATAAAAGACAAACCTACAAAACTTCTGACGGAGCTCCAACTGCAAACAAGGTCAATTATTACTTTTTGTAGTATGAATTTTAATCCATGCATGTTTTATATTTGCAAAACCTTCCGAGATCCTAGAGAGGGTATCTTTATGTGTGTGACGTCATTTCAATGTAAAGTCCATGTGCCTGAGCATGACCAAGGAGGCGGGGCCAGAGGGCCAGAGTCAGGAGCATATACTGTCCCCTAGGGGTAGGCTGTGCACAAGTCCCCCCAAAGAGTTGCATTGGGTGTGGTCAGAGGTGTGCTTTGTTTCACCTCTGAAGCCACACCCAGCCGTGACATCATGTTGTACTGACCACCCAGGAGTACACTGCTACATCACTGCATCAGGGTGGAAAGTGCCCTGTGGAGGCTTTGACCGTTACCGTGGAGCAACGTTTTTACAAGTGGATCCCCATTTTGTTTGTATTATGAACATGCACGGGGACACAGGCGGGTGATTCACATCCTGATATTGCAGTTCAGCCGATTAAGTAACGCGCCAACAAATCTAGCAATACACCAACAAAGGCGAGGAAGGCCACTAAATAGCTAGATTTCATCAGATTGGGAAATTTATTCAACACGTCTTTAAGGCCTGAAAGATGTGCAATATTGCGCCTCATTCACTAATATGGGCGTATTACTGTCAGATTCTCGACACATGCACACCGGCTAATTTTGTTCTCACCACCGTGTGTATGTTAGTGAATCAGAATCATTCTAAATTGACAGGCGCGTGCCCGCTATTTGTAATCAGCTTACAGCCTCACCCCCATTTCTCTGTACAAGGAAATACCTTTTCCTAGAGGCAGGGAGAAGTATTTGTAAGCGAGAGGCATGACCCTGAAGCAAAAAAGCTAAATAATTTCACGACTGAAGAAACTGAAACACTAGTGTCCGAGGTGGAAGCCAAAAAAGGCATATTACAGACCAAGTAAATAAAAGCAATGAAAACCAAAATGGTTACATTTCAATATGGACATTCTTGTGTATGCTGTTGTAAGGTATCACTGGGACACTCTAAGTTTTTAAGTTTAGTTGAAGATTTTATTCATTTATTTATTTAGTCATTCAATATGTGATCAGGATAAAAGGGTGTCAATTCATGGTTATTTAATAAATTTGGCCAATGTATTAGTAAATTAACAGTTTTTAAATTTTGTTGTCTATAAGAGTCTTTTAAATGAATGTGGTTTAATGTGCTAAGCTTTTAGCAAAAAAGGTGTGAGTTTACATTTCAACACATTTGGGCCTTCATCATTCGTGCAAAGCACGAGGCATTGAGGCAGTTCTAAATTTATTTGCAGAGCACGAACAAATTCAGGTAAGAAAATATTAATGAGTATTACGGACTTATGAGTAAAATGTTCATATGCACGGTTTAAGTACCGATTTGTGCACCCTATTTGTGAATGAGCCTCATTGTGTTTTGGTGAGACACACTGAATTTAAACATCACTTTTGTATGAAGACGTGAAGCTGGGAAAACATGTCTCTGACTCCAGGACCATCAGCACCGGTTCCCCTCAAGGCTGCTTTCTTTCCCCTCTTCTCTTCTCCGTGTACACCAACAGCTGCACCTCCACCAGTCCAACAAGCTCCTGAAGTTTGCGGATGACACCACCCTCATTGGGCTCATCTAAGATGGAGGCGAGTTTGCTTACAGGTGAGAGATTGACCGTCTGGTGACCTGATGCTGCCAGAACAGTCTGGAGCTCAATGCTCTCAGTGGAGATGGTCGTGGACTTGAGGAAGAGCCCAGCCACACCCTCCCCCATCATCCTGTGTGACTCCCCAGTCACCACTGTGGACTCCTTCCTCTTCCTGGGCACCATCATCTCCCAGAACCTCAAGTGGGAGCTGAACATCACCTCCCTCACCAAGAAGGCCCAGCAGAGGATGTACTTCCTGCGGCAGCTGAAGAAGTTCAGCCTGCCAAAGACAATGATGGTGCACTTCTACGCCGCCATCATTGAGTCCATCCTCACCTCCTCCATCACCATCTGGTACGCTGCTTCCACTGCCAGGGACAAGGGCATCATCAGCGCATCATTCGCTCTGCAGAGAAGGTGATTGGTTGCAATCTTCCATCACTTCAGGACCTGCACGCCTCCAGGACTCTGAGGCATGCAGGACAGATTGCAGCTGACTCCTCCCACCCCAGACACAAACTGTTTCAGACTCTCCCCTCCAGCAGGAGGCTGCGGTCCATCGGGACCAAAACCTCTCGCCACAAAAACAGCTTCTTCCCGTTTGCAACTAGCCTCATTAACAAGGCCCGGGTCCCCCACTGACACTCCCCCCTTTCAAATACAAATCTCATGCACGAACCACGTTGCACATATTTGTTGTTAATTGTTAATCGCTGTTGTTTAATTGTTATTTTTTTTAATTGTCAATTTACATATTTATGTACACAAGATCCTCTTCTGTTGCAATACGTCTGCACAACACAAGCCGAAGTAATGCACATGTAAATATCTGCCACATTGTTCTTTCTCTGCAAATAGTTGTATTATTTTTCTCTATTCTTTTATTATTCTTATATAACTTGCATTTGTTTATTCCATATTTATATATTTCTACATCTATTTATGTCAAGTGTATGTTTGTCCAAGTGTAAAACACTACTTTTGTTTACAAGAAAACTCTGCAGGGCACCTTTAATCTATGGGGGTCAGCAAAACAAGCTGCTGCTAAGTCACTCCTCATGGGTCTTAAGGGTCACAAATCTAATTTTAATCCCACACCTTTTAGACCTGGTGTGTGAGTGGGATCAGGAGACAGGTTATCACGTTCACTGCCAGGTATTTATTAAGGGCTTATTTAATAGTAATTTCATAACACATGGATGTTAAAAGCCAGTACCCACCCCAGCCACAGCCTGTTGACCCTGTTACTATCTGAGTACCACCACAGACCAGCTTCTTCCCCCAGGATGTGAGACTTCTAAATTCACCCTCAGCAGTGCAACATGTAAAATACTTTTTTTTTTATACTCACTAGTGTGAGTAGCACAAGAGGAACTATCCAACGTCATCTCACTGTACAACCTTGTGTTGCAAAATGACAAATAAATATACCTTGTAAAATTGTCCTACTATACTAAAAAATTTCACAGTTTATTTAAGTCCACTTAAAATAAATAATCACAATGACACATACAGGTGCTGGTCATATAATTAGAATATCATCGAAAAGTGAAACTTGCATATTATATTCATTCATTACACACAGACTGATATATTTCAAATGTTTATATCATTTAATTGTGATTATTAAAACTGACAACTAATGAAAATCCCAAATTCAGTATCTCTGAAAATTAGATTGCTTAAGACCAATACAAAAAAAGGATTTTTAGAAATGTTTTCCAACTGAGAAGTATGAACATGAAAAGTATGAGCATGTACAGCACTCAATACTTAGTTGGGGCTCCTTTTGCCTGCATTACTACAGCAATGCGTTGTGGCATGGAGTCCATCAGTCTGTGACACTGCTCAGGTGTTATGAGAGCCCAGGTTGCTCTGATAGTGGCCTTCAGCTCTTCTGCATTGTTGGGTCTGGCGTATCGCATCTTCCTCTTCACAATACCCCATAGATTTTCTATAGGGTTAAGATCAGGCGAGTTTGCTGGCCAATTAGGAACAGGGATCCCATGGTCCTTAAACCAGGTACTGGTAGCTTTGGCACTGTGTGCAGGTGCCAAGTCCTGTTGGAAAATGAAATCTGCATCTCCATAAAGTTGGTAAGCAGCAGGAAGCATGAAGTGCTTTAAAACTTCCTGGTAGACGGCTGCGTTGACCTTGGACCTCAGAAAACACAGTGGACCAACACCAGCAGATGACATGGCACCCCAAACCATCACTGACTGTGGAAACTATGGACTTAAAGCAACGTGGATTCTGTGCCTCTCCTCTCTTCCTCCAGACTCTGGGACCTTGATTTCCAAAGGAAATGCAAAATTTACTTTCATCAGAGAACATAACTTTGGACCACTCAGCAGCAGTCCAGTCCTTTTTGTCTTTAACCCAGACGAGACGCTTCTGACGCTGTGTCTTGTTCAAGAGTAGCTTGACACAAGGAATGTGACAGCTGAAACCCATGTCTTGCATACGTCTGTGCATGGTGGTTCTTGAAGCACTGACTCCAGCTGCAGTCCACTCTTTGTGAATCTCCCCCACATTTTTGAATGGGTTTTGTTTCACAATCCTCTCCAGGGTGCGGTTATCCCTATTGCTTGTACACTTTTTTTTCTACCACATCTTTTCCTTCCCTTCGCCTCTCTATTAATGTGCTTGGACACAGAGCTCTGTGAACAGCCAGCCTCTTTAGCAACGACCTTTTGTGTCTTACCCTCCTTGTGCAAGGTGTCAATGGTCGTCTTTTGGACAGCTGTCAAGTCAGCAGTCTTCCTCATGATTGTGTAGCCTACAGAACTAGACAGAGACCATTTAAAGGTTTTGAGTTAATTCGCTGATTAGAGTGTGGCACCAGGTGTCTTCAATATTGAACCTTTTCACAATATTCTAGTTTTCTGAGATACTGATTTGGGGGTTTTCATTAGTTGTCAGTTATAATCATCAAAATTAAAAGGAATGAACACTTGAAATATATCAGTCTGTGTGGATTGAATGTATATTTTATACAAGTTTCACTTTTTGAATGGAATTACTGAAATAAATCAACTTTTTGATGATATTCTAATTATATGACCAGCACCTGTATTATAGGTGCAGTCAAATACATATAGCGCGCACACACACACACACACACACACACATACACACACACACACACACAGCACCCTTTATACCAAGGAAACTATCAGCGCAAATAGCCCTCTACGTATCGGAAAGGGCTTGACTGACTTCCTACGAGACGACTTCTCGGTAACTTGGAGGAATTAGGGACACGACGACAGCGACATTTAAGCCCGTGTCAGAGGACACGAGGACAGGGCAGCGCCGGTGTCTGAAGGATGAGCGGTCCAGGTGGGCGGACCTCACAGTTTACAACTGTTGGCAGAGGGCGCGCTTCATTTCAGCACCAAGGACAGAGAGGGAGGCAGCGGCTCCCCTGCTAAACCTGTGGGATTCGGTTAACCAGGAGGAATTACTCACCAACAAACAACTGTGGATGAATGTGGAGCTTTAAAGTCAGGTCGACAAAGTTGGAAGTGCAATGCCTCGGTTTGCTTGCGTGACATGCTGTGAGGAACATCGCTCTCATGTCTGCAGGACGGTCCAGTTTTAAGTGAGGAGGAAGAAGCATAAAGGGGAGTCCTTTCTCAGTTGGAATAGCACGTCCTAAGCTCACCATGAATGGCTATAATTTCACCGACTTGAACTCCACTGGTGCAGCACACGCTTATTCACCGTCACTGGACGACACTCTGTACAAACAATACAAGTACCCGGTGAAGAACCTCATCTCTTTGCCAAATGTGGTGGTGTATCTGCTCATGGCTGCCCTGGTAGTTGTTGGAGTGGCCTATGCAATTGTTGGACATCTCATCAAGGACCTGGCCATTGACATAGCAGGTACTGCATTCTGTAATTTATACATTTAAAATTAATTAAATTTGTCATTAGTTACCTCACTGATTTTTAACATGTAGCTAGAGTGAAATGAGAAAAATACGGCACATCTGGCTGTATAATAATATTAGTATTAATAATGCAATCAGTTGCCATAGCCATACTCAACATTTAAGTTGTAGCCTACATCTTAATCTACAGCAGTGGTACCCTCAAAGTCTGAAGTAGGCCTACCCCTTTATCAACACCACCACTCATGTTCCAGAGGTGTTCATTTCATTTTAATTAATGATGTAAAAGTGGGTACTGTTAGGTGACACTTTTCAATAAGGGACACTATCTTTGAGTAGCTACCAGGGAACAAATGAGAAACTTACTGCCATAGTGAACCATTGGTTTGAGTAATCCCTATTTAAATTTCAAATATGATTACTTAATTAAGAAACTTGTGAGAAAGTACTTCCCTAAAAAATACTTATGGAGGACTGGGAGGCTTTTATTTCAACAATCTATTACATCTGTTTCATCTGTATATTTTATTTAGCTAGCCTAAGTATTTAGCTAACTAACTGTTTAGACTTCACTGCAGGCTTGTTAAAAACACATTGTTCAGTTGTTACAGCTGACTCAATATGTTCCTCAAATCTTTTTTTGTTGATGTTGAGCTACTTCACAATCTTTACTCCCTGGCACCTGCAGAAGTACTCCCTGGTTGGGAAGCACTGATTTAGGCCATTGTGTTATTGAAAACACACATACTAAACTTCAGCGGCCATGCAGCACATGTCCTTTTACTATTGGTGGTATTATATATATATATAACCCCTTTCTCCCTTGTTTAGATTGTATGTTGGGTCCACCTGGTGATGAAGAGAACGACAAGAACATCAACCCGCAGCGCATGGCTGGCCATCCTCCACTGGTGCATCCATTTGCCCACAATGCCTTCCATGTGTGGGACCAGGACGACGTGGTCATCCCTCTGCCCTACGAAGAAGGCCCCCAGACCAGCCCGCTGATGCTGACTGCCCTCCCCTACATCCCCTCTTTCTTCCCACACGTACACAGCCCAACAAGTCAAAGCTCTTTGACTTTCTCCACCAGCCCAACCCAGGAGATCAGCATCCCCAGGGAGATCTGATCATTGACAAGCGCCGTGATCATGAAAAGCAAACACCCTGAGAAGGGGGACACCCGAGGACAAAAGGGATTACAGGAGCTTACTGGTTATTGTCTGTGTGTGCCTGAGCTTCAGAGAGAAGCTGTTAGACACGTTAGATTAAGTTGAACTGACTCCACATGTTGGTGCTGTCATGGGTACCGTACTTCCTGCAGTACCTACTGTCTAAGTTCTTTGTGGAAGAAATAAAGGTTGTTTTTTTTCTCTCATGAAAACCTAGCTATAAGATGGAGCTGCTGCATGTTCAGTTTGAGTGACTTATGTTTGTACAGGCAGCATGAGATTGAAAGATTGCGTGTCTGTTGTGCCATTATAATCCACCTGCACAACAACAGATTAGCCAGTGACAGTGAAGAGCTCACAGGTTTCTGTCTTTCTGAGCTGTGGAATTTACTGATGGTATTTCTGTCACACTTTTGTTATTGCTCTTAATGAGCACCTTATTTTAAAATGCACAGGAGATCAGAATCTTGGTGGAGGTAGTCTGTACCTCTGTAGTCCTCACGTTAACAAAGCCGCTTCCAACCTGTAAACCAGCCATCTGGCTGCCTCACACACTTCGGGAAAACGTTATTTCCACTGAGGGATTATCTTAAGGGGAGGACTTAACGGAGTTCCAGCAATTCAACATGTACACAACACAACTTAATCGTCTAGCCTTTATCACAGGTGTCACACTCACTCATAGATGTCTGGTGTGCAGAGCCTGTCGGAGGCTCAAAAGTATACAGTATGTGGCATGCTGGGAAAGTGAGCTCATTTCTCATGTAATACGAGCTCACAGCTGCTTCTGTTCTTAAATGTCAACTTATACTTTATAAGGGGTGAAGAACATTTTAAATCACAACTTATTATGCAGCTTTGGTTTGGCAGCTTTAATCAATTCAGAATTAAAATTCATGCAGTTTTTAAAGTTCCTGATTGGCCTAAAACACATTTTAAATGCAGAACTACAAAATTCAAAACCGTGGCTGTAGACCACCCTCTGCCATTGCTTTTAGTATCCCCCTCCTCCACCTTCTTCGACAGAGGGGAAAGAATTCTAGGAAGTTTTGATCCTTTGCAGGCAGAATGAGCCAACACACAGCAGTAAGAGCTTAGTGAGTTAATTTAAGCACTGAACTGTCTTTGAACTTCAGTTTGGAGCAGTGCATTGATAGAAACGTGACATGGCAATTTCATTGGATAAGACAAACTGTATTCAACATGAGGTTTAAGATTAGGAGAAAAGATTGGCAGATACAAGAATCATCAAGTTTTAAAAAGTCACTATGGGAGATAAAGGATTAGGATATGCTCTGACTAAATACCAGACAGACAGACTTCCATACCCACATCGACTTTCCAATAAACACTGGGCAGACACAGGCACACATTCAATGACATTGTTAAATAAGTTGTGAAGGTCAACTGTAGCGTAACCATACTGTTAAATCACATCCAAACACTCTTTTTCATAACAGACACAGCAAACCTACAGCACAGATGGATATAAAATGTCTGTTAATGGGTATATGTAAATTAGCACCATGAAATATCTTCCACAACAGATGGCGCAACCTTTTTATAAGTTTGTGTCTGCGATTTGACTGATTATGAGAAATTGAGGTTCAAAGGTTTAACATTTTTGATAGAAAAACAACATTTACAATACACAGACATTTTGAATTTTCTGTGGAATAAACATTAATGCTGTCTGAGTTCCATCAGGTTTCCCAGTAAGTAAGTAAGTAATTCCAGTGAGCGAGCATGCACAAAAAGTGGAATGCAGCCATCATTAATGTTATCAAACACACCTGTGCTTTTCCTGCTACATATGTCAAAAAATATGTCTGCTTTGGAAAAGGTCTATAAAAATCATTGATTATGCTAAGAGACATGATTTGGGTTACTGCTAATTAATAATTAGCAAGCTAGTTGCCCAGCATGATAAAAAATTACTTTCAGTAGCCTTCTGTACAGAGGTTTCAAACCTTCTGAATGTGCACTTTTCTTCTCAGCTTTCACCTCTGACACAGCAGTGAGGTAAAGATGCAGAACTTGTGATCTTGTGTTCATTCTGATAGGCTTTGCAGGTAAAACCGTACAGAACCAAGTTACGGATGGATATTTGACTTCAAATTTTAGGGTAATTTATGCATATAAATCTAACTAAAAGTAAACAAAATTGCAAATAAAAAAATAGCGTCATGTAAATGACTTATTTAAAAAAAGTCAGATGGAACCTTATAATTCTAAGATTACAATACATCATGTTTAAAAACATCAAAACACACAAGTCAGGTTGTATTGGTATTTGAAAAAAAAAAGCTTTTTATTGTGTAAAGTAGTATTTTTTTCTCCTGTACAAGTAGGTCATTTGCTGTAGTAACTGAGGCAGGGTGATTTAAAAAAAAAAAATATATATATATATATATATATATATATATATATATATATAGCTTGACTTTGTATCTAACAAAGTTAAGACTCACACTGATGTTTTGCATGGCAGAACAGTATTCACTTCATACAAAGGCTGCTCCAATGTGTGTGGAAGTCCTTTAAAGTCAGTTTACTGTGATCCATCTGTGTTGTATGAACCAACCTCAGACCAACTCGTTTTTACTGTCCGAGCTTGGGCTGGCAATAATAATCAGAGGGTAGAGAGCTTTCTCAAGGGGGACGCAGAAATGAGGTGTCAATATGTAAAGGTAACGTGTGTCCATCCAAAACAATAATGATAAACTCAGGAGTCCATTCGGCATAAAGGGCTGTCGTAGACCATCTGTAGGTTCACCTTGTGTCCCACCAGTTCTCTGATGTTGTTGATGCCGTATTTAATCATGGTGGGCCTGCGGGTCAGAGAAGGCTTAGTGAGCAACAGCAAAATGCAGCTGTAACAGAAGCCAAGGTGTTTGTGTTGTGTTTTCCAGGTCTGGCAGGTCAGAGCTAAAACAACAGAGTGCTGGGTGGAAGAGGGAGGGTTACTCAGCGTGGATTATAGAGCCTTTCTCAGCTCACTCGCCATGGCGGTTATTCACAGTTAAAATCTAACTACATTTAAACCCAGAGTATTCTCTACAACCAGTAGGGCTGAACAATTAATTGCATTTGCAATATTATCGCGATATGATAAAACAAAATTTTCTAATCCAAAGGCTGCGATTACACTCTGGTCACGTGACACACGAGAGTAAACCAGTCTGCAGAGGAAGCATCAACTAATACACATTATGCTGTATTGACTTGTTGTTGTACAACGGCCTTAAGCTTGACAGACGCTGACACTAAAGAAACTTTAGTGTCACACAGGGAATTAAAGTAGTACCCACCACCCGCAGGTAAGTTGGTGGTGGGTGAAATCAACGGGCCATCCGCTGCTTAGACGGACAAAATGCACAACAGAAAGACACTTGTAGTAAGGTAAGTGTATTGTAGCGATTGGTATCGCAAGCCAAAGTACACACAGCCACCAGTCAGCTCAGGAAATATCTGTGAAACGGCGTTTCAAACCAAACGCACAAGTCCAAAAGAGGCCTGTCCCGAGTTACAGCCGGTGTGCTGCTCACCAGCATCGGAGGCTGTGGGGGAGGAGGGGGGGACTCCGGAGTCATCAGAGAATTACCAAGCTTGTCTATTAAACACGGGAGGCGTCACTTGGTTTTATTTTCGTTGGCCAACTTTTCATTGAACATAGGTTTTTGAGATACTCATTAATTGGTGGTTGAACTGTGTTTTGCATTGAGTTAGTTTTTCTTGTGATCTGTTGGTAGGCCAACCTGATGGTATTATTTCGTATTATTTAATGCCATGACTCTCAAATTATCTTTCTCATATTATTATAATTTGATATTTCTTCTCTACCATTGCTCATAATAATTCATGCAATTCTTGCATCACCTAATTTCATCATAACACAGGCCTGACCTACAAGAAAGAACATTGTATGTTTAATTTATCTAATATTGTGGTGGTCATACTATACACTGATTTACTGCTTGTCCATTTTGAATAAGGAGGTAAAGAGCTTAAAAATTAATCGCATATTAAATTGCAATCGCAATATTGGTAAAAAAAAAATATATTAAAAAATCGCACTTAGATTTTTTTCCAAAATTGTTCAGCCCTAACAATCAGCAGTAGTATGTGACCTATGTGGTGAGCTTTACCTTATGGGGGGTTGTGTGGAAAAGTAAAACAAAACCTGGGCTGGTGAATATATCTTTAGAAAAAATGTAATATCTTGTAGCATATCAAATTAACAGGATTCTGCCTGTATATAGCCAACACAGTGCCTACAGTGAGATGCAGTTTATAATCTAACATGAAATAATTCCAATAAATGATATATATGTAAATAGTACATCTCAATCATTTGTTGGCAGGAATAATCCTCAGAAAATAACCTTAAATATCTGATTTGTGTGCTCAGTTGCTTCAAAGCTAAAAGACTGATGACGTCTATAGACTAAATCACACACCTTTATAATAATTTAATCCATAAAATTGAATTATTAACAAAGGGTATAGATTTCCCATTTTTAAAAACAAAAATGGCAGCAAAATAAAACGCAGGTCAGTAATGAGCTTTAGCTTGTTTCTCTCTGTATACAACAAATTCATATTGTGTTTCTGTAAGCTTCATCTGTGTGTTCACCTTTCCAGAGACAGCCCCCACGCAATTACTGACACATCCTCAGGAAGACCCATGGGCAGCAGCATCTCTGGTCTGAAGACCCCCGAGTTTCCTACTTCCACCCACTTTTTTAATCCTGTATGAACAGAAAGAAATTATAGACATTTGATGGAACAACCAAACACCAAAAAGCAGTAACTATAGAATCAGGGAAGTTGAGAAACTCTATTTGAAGCTTTCCGGCTTGCTGGCAAACCGTAACAATTCAACTATATTGTCAGACTCAGGGTCCATTAGAAAAACATGGTAGACACACAACACATCCTAAAATACAAACATAAAATATGAATTAAACATTGGCAGATTTTATAAAAGACAGTTATACCAATGCTTCCACAGAGGTGACTGGTATTGTGCAATAGTATTACTGGGTTTCGTCAGCAGCTTAATGCCGTTCCGAGAGCTATCCAGTTGACGAATAAATTTGTACATCAGATTTCTCAGTAATATCCGCATACATTACAGGCAGCCTGAAGCTTATGTATTGTTGTCTTTTTAAACTAAGCCCACAATGGGGCAGTATAGAGAGGAGTGCAATATGCTCTGCAGAGCCTTATCTTAACATGGTCTGAACCAGAGGTGGGACCAAGTCTGAGTCAAGTCTCAAGTCAAGGACCAACAAGTCCAAGTCTTAAACTTTGAGTTTCGAGTCCTAAACAAATCATAATGCGCTCTTCACCAAATTTAAAAACCATTTCAAACGTAAAAATAAAACAATGTATTGAATAAAGCATTAGCCTGAACAGAAAGAAGGCAGAGGTGCAGTTTCACACAACAAATTTCATGAATTAAATTAAATGTTCATGTAGGGCTTCTAATTATTTTGGTCAATATTGAGATCACAATTATTTAACAGGATCACTCATTGCCTCAGGAAACATTAACTACTTAAATGTAATACTTTATATGTATAAAGGGTGCTGCTGTGTGTGTGTGTGTGAGTGTGTGTGTGTGTGAGTGTGTGAGTGTGTGAGTGTGTGAGTGTGTGTGTGTGTGAGTGTGTGAGTGTGTGTGTGTGTGAGAGAGAGAGTGAGAGTGCGCGGGGAGCAGAGCAGGTGACACGTGAACTATTTGAGTTGAAGCAGTTGAAATAAAACCGTGGTGCTTTGTCAGGAGATGCAGTGACAGAAACCAGCGGTGAGAAAACTATAAATCGCTATGACGTTAGAAGACGCAGACACAGTGGACATTTTACAAGAACTGATCAGGTAAAGCAACACTGAACACACTTTTAGACAGGGACGAGCAGCTCAGCTGTGAAGGAAAGGGGTGCGCTGGATTTATAAAACAAAATGAGTGTCGTTTTGAAACAGCACCCGGCGCTGTTATCGTTTTATCTTAATTAACTTGTTTCAGCTTCACACAACAGCTGCAGCAGTCTCTCTACACTGTTTCGACCCGACCTCTTGCTGGAGGAAGCCACACACTCCAGTCGCTATGTTGATGCGCTGCGCAGTTTTTTATATCATAATTTATATTCGGGCATGGGGAGTATCAAGTCATCTCGAGTCAAGAGTCAAAAGGCTCAAGTCCAGGTGAAGTCACGAGTCATTGCTGTTCAAGTCAAAGTCGAGTCGCAAGTCTTCTTTGGTTTTGTCAAGTCATCATTTTTGTGACTATAGGGATCACTTTTAACACAGTTAAATAGAGCTAAGTAATGTTGCCTCCACAACGCAGCTATAGGCTACAGAAACTCCCTCTACAGTGTATGGTAACAAAGTATTGCCCTTGTTCAGGGCTCTCACCTCCTTCCAAAAGTCAGCCATAGAGTCCGCTCTCATGACTTGTTCGTGTTTGCAACATAACAAACTGCATATTTATACCTAGCATTGGTGATCTTTTTGAAGTCCAGGACAGGCCCCTGTCTGGGTCTACCAGCCAGAACCAAAGCCTTGAATGCCTCCTTAGCTTCTGCATTATGTGCATCTACAGACTTATTCCAGCCTGGCTTGATGTTATGTTATAAGAGTGAATAAAGTATGGTCTACTTGCGTCATGCACAGCTCCCACAATACAGTCATACATAGAACAGAGAGCTTCACAATGAGAACATAACAAATGGTACATCATCAGGCATAGAAGTTTCGTACGGGATTTTCATTGATCGCAAAACAGCATGCGCATTTGAGGTGCTAATGCAATGGTCAAGCCATGATGTTGTGTGGCAGGTTTCACTTATGTAAGAATAGCTATCAGCAGGTAACAACAACTGACTAGATAATATAAGACTATTGTAATTCCTTCATTCAACCGCAAAAATAACTGAAGTGTGAACCTACAGAGTATCTAAAAACACATACTGCGCACGGCCTTCACATAATCTTCACAGAATGTGAAGGGAAAATACAATATTACCAACAAAATGTGTTTTCTTGACTGTTATTTAGATTAAATGTTGTTTTGCAAGATGTCTTTCTGTCCATCTACTATTCATATTTAAATCAACATAATACATTTAAAATTGAATATATTTAAATATATGATTTACAGTAAAGGTAACGTAACCTCCAAAATCACATGAATGAGTCAAATGCCGAGATGGCAGCTACTGTGATCATGTGATTGGCTAAGCTAGTTACCTTTAGCGGGTGCTTAGTTGGCTTTTGATTCGGATGATTGGATTTAGCTGCTGCTTAATTTAGGACTAACAAAAGGGAATTACCGAGATGTAATTTATACATGTGTGATTGATTTACAGGTGTAAGCTAGGGCAAAATAAAAAAGTACATTTAGCTTAGGCTAACTGTGGCTATCTCACAGCTAGCTTTCACTAGATACCAAGTGATAGATGTCAGATTCAGGTCTGACCAAATATGTAGTTACTGCTTTTTGCCTTTGTGGTGCAGAGAACTTTTAAATGTTTTACAGAAAACACTGGGCATTTTAAACACCAGCTAAAAAGAGAGGAAAACGATTTGTTGGTTGAAACTCTGTAGTGTACATGTCCGGAAAAGAGCTGCCAGTTAAACTAATAAAGTAGTAATAGCATTAGATGATCTAGAGGGGTTGTATACCTTCATGGTAGCTGAACACTTCCATGCTGGGCTCTGTGTATGGGTTGTAGGCAGGCTTGAAGCGTAGTTTGGTGATCCCTAGAAAAGAAACAAGAAAGACCAGATTTGTGCGGCTTGAAAAACCTATATGAGGGCAGACAGAACAAACAGCAAAACTATTCAAATCTACAAAACAATGCAGAATATTTTCTTATCTTCAGCCGTGTTTCAAGCCTTTTGTAAAACGAGTCCATGGTTTGCAGGTACATTAAATGGAGTGTTTAAGACTGTTGTGTTATGGTTCTGTGTAATTGAATTCATAAGAACCTCTCAGGAACATATTTTAGCTCTACCATATGACCACTTCACTTATAAAAGTCATTTATCTAATCATATTCACAGTGTCATGCAGCCCTCCTGACCTAGTTTGGTGAAGAACTGATGCAGGATGCCCATGAGGTCCCCCAGTGTGAGTCCGTAGTCGGCCACCACACCCTCTATCTGGTGGAACTCTGCCAGATGGGTGGCATCTAAGGTCTCGTTCCTGAACACCCGGTCGATGGAGAAATACTTGACAGGGGTGAACTTCTCCTGGTGGACAGTTTGACATGTTGGTGATGAGACAGGCAGGGAGAAGAATTTCACAGGTAATGACAACACATGTACAGCACATCCGCTATATGGTCAAAAGAATGTGGACGCCCATATGATTTTTTCTTCTCAACATCCCAGTCCAAAGCTATGTATGTGTGAGGTAAAAGCCTAATTTTGGTTTTCCCAGACCCCCGTAATCCAACTCTCCCTCCCCAAAAAATCTTTCTAGATAAATCCCTAATGATATGTATGTGCAGCTCACCTGTTGTGCTAGTTTATACAGCATGCGTGCACTGACTGCTGTAGTGTGAGTGCGGAGTATGTTCTTCTGAGCCTCCTCTATCTTCCAGTTGTATTTGTACCTGAAAGTCAGCAGGATATTAGATAACGTCGTTATAGGCTTTACTGAAAGTTGAATAATGTTACTGGGTAGGCGAGCGTGTGATTATATCTCACCCTTGTGAACCAAAGCCTCCCTCTGAGTGGACCTTCTTCACTCTCTCTAGGTATTCCTGTGGGAACTCAAGGGCGCGTGCCGGGTCTGCAAAATGATTTTCAGAATAAATGACCATCATAAAATGACCTAGATACAACTAAGTGCAGGACAGGACTCAGAGAGAGGAATGCACGGCACACTCCGGTCTCACCGGACAGGAAGAAGGTGTCGTGCTGGTCTCTGGCCGGGTGCTGCTGGGGCTGGAACAGGGAGTCAAAGTTCCAGAAAGAGCTCTCTATGAAGTTGTTGGTCGGCATCTCTGTGAAGCTGCAGAAAGCAGAGGGTTCATTTTGTGTTTGTGTTTGTTTTGTGTGTGTAAAATGGCTTCCTTCACTTACAGCTACTCACCCCATCTCCAGGAAGATCTGCCTGAACTGTGTTCGCACCTTCATCAGCGGGTGCAGGTGGCCACAGTCAGGGGGCACGCCCATGGCCTCAAAGTTGTAGGGCTTAAATTTCTTCTCTTTCCAGCTGCCACTGAATAAGTTAAGGGAAGAAGAGTCTGAAAACGTAAAGTGCTGTTTCTGAATCCTTGCTTCTTTACAGTCAGAGGGTTTTCCATAATCCATACAGAATATTTCTCCCAATTCATTTGAGCATTTTTAATCTGCAGCTGAGATGACAGATCTGTGGTGTACACAAATAGAAGCAGCATCACTTTGAATTTTGGAAGGAACATCTGGATGCTTTTAGCTAAATGATATGATTTCATGCAAGCCTGAGACCAGAGCTTTTTTCATTCTGCTAGCATTTTAATTCCTTGTCCTCAGCATGAAAACAGTATAAGCTGTATTATGAGCGTGTTCTTTGTTTATTTATCCTTATTTCTTATTTAAAAAATGCCTCACAGAAACAGTGACTATTACACAGTGCCTAAAAGTTCCATTAAGTACATGTTGTGATGTTTGAATACCAATTAAAAAGAAAATACATCAACAGCAACTGATGGTTTGCATGACTGCTTTAATTTCTCATCAGAAAAATCAGCCCAAAACAAAGAAGAATAATGTTTAACTGTCTCAAGAGCATTAAGAACCTTGAAGAACAGAATTTCTATATTCTGTCTTTTTTGTTGGTCACAATCATTTTGTACAGCCCTGCCTTTAGGACAAAGTCCTCATCTTTGGACTTGTCCCCTTTTATGGGCAGAGATTTCTCTGTGTCCTCTGTCTGAGATCCTGCACACCGCCACTGACAGACAGAGGAGGGCAGACAGGACACCTTTTCCACAAATTGGACTAAATAAGTAGCGACTGCACCCACCTGGCAATCATCTCCGGGGTGAGCTCTGTCTCTTGTTTGGTGACGGTGGTGCTGAAAGAGGCGCCCTTAGCGATCCAGTACGACTTCACCGTCCTAAACACATAAAACAAAAAGTACTTCAACCAACCATAAAGATTCTATGAGAGGCTAAATGATAGAAGTGATGACCTGTATGAATATAACAGACATTTATATTACACAGAGATTGTTCACATGTATGGTAGTGTTTAGTGGTGCTGTACTGAAATGCAGTACAGTGTGTCTACTATTTTTGTTTATAAAATGCTTACAGAGGGGTAGTGGGACTGAAACATCAGTGATGTGAAGTGTACACGTGAACCATAGACCACGTGTGTTTTAGTGAGGATTTAGACATTGAAAAACATTTGGTTACTTAGTAAACTTGATTGAAGGCCTGTTTTTTTTGCTTAGTATCTTCCCTCAGTAGACAGATGCTTAGTTATCAGCTCAGTACATCTCTCGTCTGGCTCCCAGTTTATGAGAGATTGCTTTTTTAAGTGTGGTAAAGTCTTCTTCTCCCCACATAATATGCATTGTTTTATCTGCAAATTATATTCAATACAGTTTTTTTTATTATCTGAACAACTAAAGTAAATGGGTGAAGAAGTTGACATGGTTTAGCCAAATTAAACCTTGTGTAGAGTTTTGAGTGAATTAGCTTAATAGAGCTCTTCTCAGGTCGATATTCTTTATTGTAAAATTCTAATACTTATGAGATACTGGAGTTTTGCTTTAGCTGCTTGAAATATTTCACTTTGTGTGTAATGAATCTGGAATATTTGAAAGTTTCACTTTTTGAATTAAATTCTGGAAGATGAACTTTTCCCCAATTTTGAATTTTTTTGGGATGCACCTCTACTAAAAAATTCATCAAGATTTCCTAAAGCCCAATAGAACATCTTCACACTGTTTGTTTAGTCTGACCAATAATCTAAAAGGAAGATTTAATGATTAACTCTCAAATTAGTTACAGATTATTTTCCTGACGATCGATTTATCAACTAATTGTTTCATCTTTAATGAGTCCAGCTTCCCTTCAGTGCAGCAAGCTGTGCATACTCACTCAGATCATCATCCAGATTTGTCCACTTTCACATTTAAATTTTCGTTTGGACCTCGGGTGTCATTTGGAAGCAGAGTCTTTGGCTATTGGGAACCTCAAAAGGTATTACATAACATGCTTTTCTTTCTATGGCTCTGCCCTAAACCCTAATATGGACATCTCCATAAGGAGGGGTGCTTGCCCGAGGTATTAAACGGCATTGTTCTCTACTGGAACAATAAAACTATTTGAGTAGAGTACACCACAAAGCATATGCCAGCATTTTGATGAAATGCTGGTCAGACACAGCACTGGCAGGAACCAAGACACAATCCCACGTTTCTGGCAAACTTATAAGCAATTACATAACGGAGGCTGGCAGCAGGAGCAGGATGCATCAAAACAATTACAATCTTCTCTCCTTCAGTGAAACTGTTGTTAGGAACTGAATCCCAATTTCAAATATAATCCCGACCTCTTGCCTGCTTGTGGTACAACCACCCAAAGCCTCTACTGCCACCTGCTGGTAGACAAATGTACACAATCCGCCTGGGACTTACACTTCAGAGAGCAGTTTCCTCTTCTTCAGCTCATTCTTTTCTTTCTCCTCCAGCTGAGAGGTGTTGCCTTTCTGTACCAGAAGCAGCTTCTCTCTGACCTGGTCTTCGATGCTCTCCACCTGGGGGCCGACACATAACACGTGCACACCTTATTTAGAACATAACCCCCCGACCACAGGAGGCAACAGCTCGATGTAAACTTCACACGTACAGTCTTGAATATCCTCGGGCCGCCTTCGTGTGTCTTGTCCACCCTAATCCACTTGTTGGACATGGCCTTGCTGAAGCCGATCTTCCCAAAGGACAACTTCTGCAAAGGGACAAACACAGAGGTACAAAAGTGTAGCTTGAAATATTAAAAATGCAGAATTACAACAGTATGTGCAGTCCATTCTGTGTTACATACAAAGTAAACACAGTCTGGGACACAAAGATCACAGTCAACCATACAGGAAAGACACTTGGTGTAACTTACATGGAGTGATACAGCTTATAATGAACACACACATTGTAAAAATTTGAACTTGGTATTAAAAAAATTGTTTCACCTCTGCTTTTAGCACTTCTTCTCACTATCATAACATTAATTAGGAAACCACAAGCCACCTCCACAATAGTTTCAATAGTATTCTTGGTTTTTCACCTTACAAAAAACATTTTTTGTATTTTTTAACAGTATTAATAGTTGTCAATTAATTTTCCGTGGATCAACTTTTAAATTTATGCAGATACACTCCCACATCCATTATTATGGATCCAGGTCTTCCTCCTCTCCTTCGCTAAATGTGATTGTGCAGCAAAAACTGTACCTACCAACTACGCAGCTCCATAGAATTATACTCATTGACTTCATGGTGGCGCTGTAACAATCAAGTTTACATTTTTTGCAATAATCTCAGAAACAGCTTGATTTTAATCTCTCAATTCATCTTCGTTCCAGTGGTCTTCTGCTTTAAAAATGTCAAACTCTGACAAAAACTTTAGGCCAATCGTCACAAAACTTCAGCAGGATCATCTACAGACTTCGCTGATCTAAAATTATCAAAGGAATTTCAATCCGTTCTGAATTTGTACATACTTTTGTGTCTTTTACATAAAATTAAAACTTGCTATTTCAGCCAACTTGCAGCACATGGCTGAGCAGTGCTGGGATCTTCTGCCACTAGGGGCGCCCCAAATGCAAAAAGTTGATATCTATAATGTTAACAGACCTGAAATCAGATTTTACGTAGGCAGAAAGACTGGACAGCAGATCATACAGGTGCCGTGCCGAAAAGTGATCGCTTAAAACTGCAGCATGTTACAGCTGTATCGCCCAGTCTCTTTACATCTTTAGCTGCTTTTATCAGGGTCAAACAGACATAACGTGCAAATAAACATCACTTTATGTCTGTGGTAATAGCAAAGGTCTGTCTTTGTGATACTTTAACGTTTCTTTTAACGGAATAATCACAGTTATGGCCAATAAGTGTTTGCAGTTTATAACTTAATCAGGCATGACATTTACGTGATGATAGGCAATAATAGAAGCCCGTTGTTGACGATGGACGATGTGTTTGGTAGGCCTATGTCTAATATCCTTGTTTATATTTGGAAAATGGAATGTAGTCTATAATTATTAACATGACTTACAGCCGAGTTATATATAAAATAAAGATATGATCTCTTTTGCGATCATCCTTATAACCCTACGTTATTTAACTTTATGTGTATCGACCAATCCAGTCCTTTTTACCTGTTGAAATACCTTTAATACAATCTATGTAATGCAGTATTGGACTTGCCAGAAAGTGACTGCAGCCTCTATTGACTGAAAAGTTATTTCTGCTCTGAAATGACTTGATTATATTCATGAGGGTTATATTTGACAGATTATAACTCACCTACTACTTTTTACCTCTTAAAATACCTTTAAATGGCCAAACACACAGATAAAATGCAGTATTCTACTTGACAGAAAGCGATTGCAGCCTCTACGTATTGACTGAAAGGTAGTTTCTTTCATTTCATTCAGAAGACAGATTAAAAAAACGAAATCATCCCCCTTTTTTATTTCCATTTACCATTTATTTATTTAGTTGACACTTTTATCCAAAGCGACTTACAATTGCTATACATGTCAGACCTCTGGAGCAACTAGGGGTTAAGTGTCTTGCTCAGGGACACAACGGTCGATGTCTCACAGTGGGAATTGAACCCACACCAAAGGCAAGCATCTTACCTATGCGCCGCCGCCACCACCACCTCTTTTTATTTCATATATAATATAACATTATATTTTCCTGAACACCAATCCAAAAATGTCCCATTTCAGAAATCTGGTTACCTTAGTGCATGGATTCGTGCAAAATTCGGTTTGCAAAATATATTGTGTCCAGATTCAGGTGATAGTTAAAATCTGGTAAAGATTGATTACCTCACTCTGTATTTTTTTTTTTTTAAATATGCAAAACCAATCAACATAAAATGCTGTCTTTTTCAGTTTCAGTCCTGCAGGTGATGTATGTGCGTGTGGTGCCTCCCACTGTGGTCCACTTATGGCACTCACCATGAGCTCGCTCTGAGGCAGACCCTCCAGCGGGATGGAGCTGTAGACCCGGGCTTCGTGGCTGCCCTGCTCGGCTATCTCCGTGCCCTCCTCCGTCAGCTCCCAGCTCTTGGACGAGCGCTGCTCGGCCGAGATTAACTGGGCAGCAGGGAACAAACACGACGGTCAGCTCGCTTGAGTTTGGATTCAACAGAATAATTATTTGTCCTAACAGGCTGACTAAATGGACTGTGTTGCTCTTTAATGCATGTGTGTTGTACTGTCTGCCCAAACAGCTTTCGTTTCTCATTGAAATTATTTCTTTAGTCCTTATTGCATCAGCCACACTAAACGAACAAGGTTGAGGGTGACAGTCTGACTTCCGCTGCCATTCTGCCCGGGAAACTCACGTCGCCGAGAGCCTGCAGACTCTTCACGGCACCGACGATGACCTGGTGGTCCACCCCGAGGCTGGTCGCCACTTCCAGGCTGTCCACGCCATCGTCCACTTTCTCAACCCGCAGTAGGAGCGTCTCCGCCACACCGGTATCCGCCATGCTGGAGCCCCGTGAAGCCCAAAAGAGACCGGATGTGACATCGGGTTCCCAAAGACCGAATGTCTTCGGATAGCGAGACGTCAAAAATGAGGACATACGTTACCGTAAGTACTGTTGTTAAATTGTTTTTGTAATGCCCTTTTAATATTATTTTAGAAACAAGCAGTGGTGGAAGAAGTATTAATTTCTTTTAGTTAAGTAAAAATAGCAATACCAGTTTAGAAATACTCGGTTACAAGTAACAGTACTGCATTTGAAAAATTAAAAAATATTCATTTGGCAGAATGGCCCTTTTCAGAGTATTATATTAATTGATATTCAAACCTTAATATGTAATAGTCATTGATGTGGCAGTTCATAAAATATGGCTACTTTTAAATACTATATTTATGTATATTTATAATAAGAGGCCATCATTTATTAGTTGATTGTATATTTAGTATTAATCTGAATCTGCAGTTAATTGTACTGGAGTAAAAAGGTTTGCCTCTGAGATGCAGTGGGGTATAACGTAGCATAAAATGGAAATACTCAAGTAAAATACAAGTTCCTCACAATTGCACTTAAAGTAAATGTACTTAGTTACATTCCACCACTGGAAACTGTACTTTTGGTATCATGGAATATAATAAAATCTAATCTTTAAATTGAACTGGCAACATTTTTATTCAGAAATGCAAATTACAGGAAAAAAGCCTAATCTAATAATGGCAAATACACTGACTTGATTGATTTCATTTCTGTATGAATGCAAATTCAATAAAATTTATGAAAACCTTAAATAAAGTTCATATATAATATTTACCATGTACCTTAAAAGGTAACTATTTGAACCATATCCTATTACAAATATACAGAGCCCCTGAATCCCAGAAAGATATTTTCATATCTTTAGGAATAAATGACACCTTTTCTCTTAAGACAACCTTTATAAATTATCTATATAAGTTACAACAAATGGCTTTTTTAATGCTTAAAAATTCCTCACCAATGCTTTATAGATCAGTTATGAGCCATTAATGAAATTAAAGAGGATTTGGGTTGCCAAGTTGTGAAAAATTGCAGTCATGTTAATAATAAAGTCAGGTCAAGTCATAATCAGGTCATTAAGTAATTAATAGGTCATGAATTTCCCATTTAATATCAATATTACAAAATACATAGTAATTTCTGTTGAAACTTAAGACCTATTCAAAATAAAAATGATTTATTAATACAAACAGTTTGTTATACATTAATAGGAACAAATCCCACCCAATCAAAAAGCTACATTGAGCAGACGTGGATTTAAGAATTTTCCAGTAATCTCAAAAACCATTTATTAAAATAACTATTACACTATTACAAAATAAGCCAAAATTACAAGCAATGCAGAAAAGAACAAGCTAGTCGGGCCTATTGAACTGTTACAGAAAATACAACCACCTCTGTAGTTTTAAACTACAAGATTTAACTATTTTCACATGAGAGAGAAAAAATGCGGTCACCACACATCTCTTTATAAGAAAGGAAACAAAGTCAGAGCTAGTGAATGAGTAACTTGTAGCATCAGCCTTCATATTTAGTGATGAGGACTGGCAGCAGAGATTACAAATAAAAATAAGAATAACCTAAAAACACAAGACTAAGCACTGACCAGACCACTGACCAGACCACTGAAACAGCCCACTTAACTCAGCCAAAACATATAAACAGTCCAGACATCTCAGTTTGTGCCCATATTTGCCACATTTAAACCCAACAGTACATAAGAAGCAGACATGGAAAAGGCAGAGAGCACAGGCAAGCCGTCAATCACTTTCTTTGGAGAAGGCTTGAGACACTGATGCAGGGCGACCAATGATTCACAGACGGAGGGTTACAGTCTATCTGTACTGGTAGTTCATGCTGCTGTCCCCCCTGCCGTAACCCACTGGATTGTGGTACTGAGTGTGGTTGGTGCCAAAGCCCTGGTTGGCTCCTGCTCCTCCTGCTCCTCCTCCCTGCGTGTTGAAACTGGATTGGTTGTTGAAACCTACAGGGAAAGTATGTGACACTTAGTGAAGCAAATACCCTAAAGACAATAAAGTAACTAGAAAGACAATAAAGTAACTAGAATTCCTGTTTGAGGTTGTATGCCTCCGGGAATCAGTCAAGTTTCGCTTTATATCCATGTCTGTCCGGAGTAGGATAGTAACGACATGAGAGTTTCTCTGATAACACAGTATTACACAATAATTGTTCCAGTTACAATGATGCTTAAAGGGAAGGAATTTTTGGTTGAATAACATTTCAAAAAAATCTTATGTCCTGACAAAACTTCAAACATAGTCTAAAGTGTCAACTATTCAGTGTCCATCAAACTGTGAAATGTGGTCACCATCTCCCCATCGAGTTATGGTGTTGAATAATGGCCATTAAAGGGGTTTTTTTTGAAGTTGATCTTTTGGGTCACTAATGTCATTGTTGGATCCCATGAAAAGTTGGAACATTTTTGAATTTCTTCTAAAAATCTCTTAACTCACCTTCATAACTGTAGTCTTGGCCTCCTCCAGCACCCCCCGTCACCTGGCTGGGGTAGGCAGTGCTGTACGAGTATCCGCCTGTCCCCCCCTGGTTTTGGTTGAAACTCTTCTTTCCCTGCCCATAGCCCTGGCCATACTGGTTATAGGAGCCCTGCCCTGGTGTGCTGCTGGGCTGGTACCCCCCTGCAGATCCAGTGTTCGCCCCCAGGGGACCTGGAAACGGTGACTTCCCTCCCTTGTGCATGGGGGGTTTCTTTTTGGGGGGTTTGGCAGCAGAAGTGGCTGTGAAGGTTCCCTCATTCTGGTAGTATGAACCATAGGAGCCCTGTGCTGATCCAGGTGCTGTGCTGGCTGGAGGGCCACCTGATGGGCTGCTTGATGCCCCGGCTCCTCCATTTGTACCACCATTGTTGTAGTAACCTAGGAAGTAACAGCATTTCACAGTCTTAAAATGGGCATAACTTGTTTAAACAAATTTTAACAGCTATTGCTTGCATATAGGATCTGTGCACTCAGAAATTAAATTAACACAGCAATGAATGGTGATGTCACATTTATTAAAAAAACAAATACATATAAAAACAGCTAGAGCAAGAAGTCACATCCAACATACATCCAATTTTCTAATTCAGCCAGTCTGTGTGCAAACTTAGTGCCTCAGTTCATCAATGCTTAATGCGGTTACAGATGGGATACTGCAATTACCAAACACTTCCAAAGTAAGACCATCATGCATTCAGTGTAGCCATGACTAAACAGTGTTGCTGATATGACACAAACAGCAGATTCAACATTAACAATTTCTCAAAAGCAAAAAAGAGAAAACAGCTTAATCATGATTAGAAGTGACAGAGAGGCATTCAAATGAAGTAAAAACAGTATTCTTATCTATGTAAATAGTATGGAGACAGGGAGAGAGACCAGGCTGCCGCAGTCCAAGTCCAGTTCACACAGGCCTTCACTTAATCATGATCCAAACGAACAGAAAACTAAGCCCTTTCCCCAGTCCAACACACGGAGGCAACGTATAATAAAATCAGCCCTGCAGTTTGGGGAGGTCCGGGTGTTCAGGTACATCCACAGCAAGTTGAGAGAACAGATGGTGCCTTGTTTATGGCTACATGCATGCAGTGGCAGATCATCTCCCCAAGGTGTCAGGACATGACAAGTGGATTGGCAAGACAGTGCGGAGGGGTTGTTGTCACTGTATTCCCAGGGTTGCGGACTTGGTGGTGAAGGGAGTTCATGATGCTGCTGGAACACTACCGAGTATTTTGTCCATTTTTATCCTCTCTACAGGACTGTTTTTGATTTTCTAAGACTGGGGGAGGATCTATGTCGCAAACTCGTGGTAGCCATAGCAGTCTGAGACAAAGTCACCTAAAGAGTGAGACAGGGCAGAGAAGGGGGAAAAAAAAAATGATCAAAATTAGATTTCTTTGGATTTTTTTGCCATAAAAGTGGCAGTTGAATAACTCATTTGGTCAGATTGCGGTCAAACTTGAGTTGTTGGGTTTTTTGTATTTTTTAGATTTCTCTGCTCCTGTCACGCTCAGGTAGGTCAGTCCTCTGAACAGGCTGCCAGAGGGAAGAAAGGGGTTCTCATAAGAGGGGGCTTGTCAAAAATGGATTCAATCCTGTGGCTTAAAGCAGAGAAATGTAAAAGCATTGAACAGGGAACATCCCAACAGGTCATATGGTGTCGTTTGGTCCATTTGCTCTGGAGTGAAACGCTTTACTATAAATAGGCTATATTTCCTGGTTAGGAGGTTATAACACAGGTAAGAAGTAGTAAAAGCTGTTTCTTTCCTCCACAGTCCTGGCCGGATGCACCATCCTGGCCCAGAACACAACATCATCTGTGCTGACACACTGGCTGAGCCATTTGTTTGGATTTCTCACATGGTGAATGAAAGCCTACGTGAAGCCCAGACAAACAGTACAGATCCAGTCAAACCAGGACTAGAATGGTTGAAATGAATACTCACTGTATCCGGAGTTAGCACTGTTCCCGTAACCATATGTTCCGAAGCCACCTGGGAGGACAGATGTAACAGTGATTTGACCTCTCCATCATGTCTACTAAATTTTTAACAGTAGGTCTGCTGCAGTAAAAAAAAGAGCGTGTTTTACCTCCTTGGCCGTAGCCTCCTCCATTATTGAAGCCCCGGCCCCTTCCACGACCTCGTCCTCCTCTCCCTCTGCCCCGGGGAACAGCTGCGTCTCCAACTCCAGGGGCTCCCATCATGCCGAAGCCTGGAGTGTGCTGGAGGGGAAAAAAACATTTTATTTGTTCTTTCCATCAATGCTGAACAGCAACTTCTCTCTCCAGGAGGATCATCATTTAATTATCTAAAGCCTGACACACAAATCAGAACATTTCAAGTGTTTATTGAACATTTTGACAAAAAATTTGTTTACATCACATTTGACACATTCAGCATTTATTGCAATTAATTTATCTAAACCATTTTATTCTTTAGAATTTTTTTATAGCATTTATTAATTATTTTTTATTTGAATATATTTTACATTTATTATACAGTATATTATATGTGCATACACTACATTTAACATGTATGTATAATATATCTATCTACATCTCAAGATATCCACACACACACACACACACAGGCCAAGGGTATTGCTGCTTACTGTATACAGCTTTCTAATTTCAAAGTATTGTACAGTTTTCTACTTACTGTTTCCTCTCACCTATTTGCTGCATCTGCATGTACTTTTCAAAAATTTGGTTTCTATAAATTATTTTGTGTTGGTTTAGATGTATTTATGGTCTGGCTCTATACTACATTATATACTCAATAAATTCTACTGTTCTCCACCGTTACCGTCTTTCCAAATCCACACCTTGCTGACTGCTGCAGAGAATCTGGTGTTTAAATATCTTCATAAGTTCATTTTAATATTTAGTTGGTTTAATTAAGTAATTTAAAAACCTCTTAAAAACTTTAAAACTGTAGAAACATTGCGAAATGAAGAACAATGATCAAATTTATTTTTTATTTTTACATTTTTCTGTAATTAGGGATTTACAGAAAAATTATCTAAAATACTTTGATTTAAGTCTGAATTTAAAATTTAGATTTTATTGTGCTTACCATGGGCGGCCCCTTTTTCTTTTTAGCAGCCTCAGCCAAAGAGCCTTCAGGGAAGAGCCGCTCCAGGGCCGCCAGGGCAGCGTAAGCCTTGGCCACCTTCTTATTGGAACCTGTCCCCTGAAACTTCTGACCGTCAATCTCCACCTCCATGACAAAGCGTTTGTCGTGGCTGCCGCCAGTCTCTGAGATGAGCTCATACTTCAGGCCACGGCGCTTCTCGTTCAGCTCCATCACGGGGTTCTTGCCGTGTTTGGTGAGGATTGGTCCCTGTTGGCGAGCAGCCTGAGAGGAAAGAGAGATGACCATTACATTCAAGAGCCCAGGAAGGAAAAGAAAAGGCCATCTTCATTTCCACAATTGTCCCTTGCTGACACACGGAGCAGCGTTGTACCTCTACAGCATCAGTAGTGTCCACATTGGCTGTTCCTGTGGCAGCAGTGGTAGTTTCAATGGGCGTTACTACTGGTTTAAATTCCTCCACAGTGACAGCTGCCTCCGCCTCCTCTGATTTCACCGACTCAGTCTTTACTTCCACTCCTGTGGGCAGGCCCATGTCCTGGAGTACCTGCAATTGTCCACACGGATCCATTGTTTAAACAACAAAACGAAAAGATGGTGGGATATGAAAATGTATTGTTTGTGCTTGCTGTTCATGTTCCCTGTGCTGTGCTCACCTTTACAGCTACGTGCAGCTTGGCAGTGCGTTTGGATGGACCAGAAGCCTCAAAGTTCTTGCCGTCCACTTCTACAGCCATAGTGAAGACAGGAACATGAACTGGGCCGGTCTGAGATATCAGTTTGTACTGGAGACCTGGCTTCAGCTGATTGAGCCTCATCAGAGCGTTCATAGCCTGGGGAGGCTCAGCCTTCTCCTCTGGAGCTGGTGCAAGAGTGTGACATACAGTAAGAAACTGACTTTACATCTTTAGGGGTAGCAAATAATAATTTATTATTTTTTATTTATTTACAATTATTAACTGATGATCAAAATTGTTCACCGATTGACAGACTAATCCTTTAATCACAGTATTTCTTGTTTACTAAAAAGCCCATGCTAAGGTTAATTTTACTGTAGGAATGATAGATAGCCTGTGTTTTAAGTTCCTTTCAACAAATACACAAGCTAAAACTTACACTTCTTCTGCAGCTTTTTCTTTTTCTTATTTGGACTCTTGTCATCAATTCCCTCCTCTTCCTCAATGGGCCTTTTCATTGGTGGGGCGTACGCTGTACTGGGTGGGATTTGCACTGCAACACAAACAAAACATAAAAGGCTCCTTATTGCGTTGCATCTATACCATAAATCAGAAACAAACAAACAAAATAACCCACAGCCTCTACTGTGGGTTATTTAAATCTCACAGGTAAGCTAGCCTGGTTTACCTGTGTAATCAATAGGAGTCTCACTACGAGGCTTCTTGGGCATCTTTGAGGGGAGGGGATCCATTCCAAGCACTTTGTGAAGCTGTCCGAAAGCAGACAGCCTTAAGGCATGCTAAACAAACGAGAACCAGTGTGAATTGCACATTCACAAAATGGGATGTGAATACACACAAACTATTTCATCTTTCTCACTTGTGCACTTGCTGTGATGTCTTCTCTCTGCTGGTGGTCCAAGTGGCCAATAGCATCTGTGGGCTCCTTCTCACATGGATCAGAGATTCCAGCACCATCTGCAATGTAACGAAATCAAATCAAGCTCCACACTTGAAAAGAAATAGTGCATTTGGACACTCATCCGTAGGAGAGACCCCACATACACACCTGCCATGAGGATTCCTGAAGCCAGACACTCTAAAACTCTCCGCAGAGCTTCTCCTGCCCCCATGGGCCGGTTCCCTGTGCCAATGGCTTTCTCACAGATCAGCTCCAGTGGCTGCAAAGCAGGAGAGGGAGGGAGACTCTTTGAGGATGCTATTTTTAAGCTTGGCCGCTAACACAGAGAGATTTTAGGTCACTGCGTTAGATTGCAATTTAACAACCGTGATGGGGGTGTCTTGCTTTTTTGTATCAAGGCAAACACAGCTTGGACAAAAAGAAAAGACTTTGTGGATTTGAGCAGCCAGCTTACTCATACATACATATTTAACAGTTTTCAGAAGCCACAATCAACAGAGCTTTATAAAGACTTTGATATATTGAAGCTGCACAGGAGGAAGCTTTTACTCACCCAGCCACGGAGCGGGGCCCATGTGGGGACGCGAGCGCAGAGGTCCCTTAGGATCCGGATGACGATGACACAGGAGCGCAGCCCATTGGCTCTGGCCTGGGGACACAAGCAGGGAGGGGGGGGGAGGAGGGGCACGAGGAGGACAAGCAGCCTTAGTCAAAGAGGAAGACTAAGTGACGCGTAATGCAACATAAACATCCAGACAAAAGTACTAAAGTAAATAATAATGAAGCCACACAGACTAGAACAGCTTAACTTTGTCATTATGAAAATGTCTGGAAATACTGGATGATAGAATAATGCATGATCACTATGTTGGAAGACTAATTATGATCATTCAGCGTCTTGGCTGTAGGTCAATAGCCAACATGATTGATGGGGTAGTTATCAGAAATAAAACATTGTGGTTTGTGGGGGGAAATAAAACATGCTCGTGGATTAAGTACAGGAAGAAAAGTGTAAATAAAGCCAACTCAAACTTAATAACAGCTTCAATGTGAGAATCATGTGAGCTATTTAAAAAAAAAAAAAAAAAGATGTGCATTGTCATTGAATAGGGTCAGAGACAGTCAAAAGAAATTACTCAAGGTGCAATATTCCTGTTGATTTTGTGGCACGCAGAGTAACAAACAGCCAGAGAGCAGGAAAGGTTGAGGCCACATACTCTACAAAAGCTGCAGAGATGGAGCACTGATTGTTACAGTGTGAAAGCCGAAAAATGACACAGGCAACGATATTATCATGAATTATTATTAACACTAACTACAAAAAACAGTTTCTCTTCAAAACTACAGAATGGGGCAGACAGAAAGTGCTCTACAAGTAGCTTGCATAAATGTAAAAATAACAACAACAACAACTCACTCACACCAACACTGACATTAAGAGAAATATTGCACCTGGATACATGGTGTATTAGTAGCAGATTTTTTTTGCTGATTGAGTTAAGGAGCTGTGAGGGAGACTAAGGTACTCTGGGACTAAAAAGCAGCATTGAACATATTTTAAAAAAAAAATGGCACTGCAGTAGAACCTGTTAAGTGAGCAAAGCAACTCTGCAACACTGTAATGACAAAGGTTTCCTACGAAACAAACACCCAGATCATCAAGTATAAACTACAGAAGTCCACTTCAAAAGAGTAAATAAATAAAAAAAAATAAGACATGAAACGCCCAAATAAAAGACAAAAGAACATACAGCATAAAACCAAACTCAAAACTACTTCTGTTTTAGAGAAAATTAAGACAAGATCCAAACCTGGAACCACTTAGCGTGGCGGAGAGACGCCAAGGCAGTTAGGCATTTCTGCCTGTCCAGAACATCCGGGGGATCGTTGACTGAAAGCGAGTCTATTGGCAGGTGGAATAAGAAGACAAGGTACAGTTTGACCAAGGGGAGTTCTGTCAGCCGGCCAGGGGGTACACAGGCAGCCTTCCCAAACCACAGGCAGGAGGGGGAAGGGGAGGGGGACCCCTCCACTGCAGAACCACCAAACGCTCTCAACCTCCAAAGATAATATGGTTTTGCACGGCCCGGCACACAATTATTAGACTTAAAACCCACCAGAACGACGTGGGTAATAACTTGACTTAATTCAAATAAAAATATTTTTTAAAAACCCCTGGCATTAACAAAAGTGCATTTATTAAGGGATAATTGGTTGTATCAAATGGGAGGTTGTTTCTCCATGCT